GCTATATCATTTTATCAGTTTGGTTTTTTCTTTTTACTATTCAATTTACAATTTATAAAAATTTGAAGTCACTTAATATTAGTGTGGTTTATAGGTCTTAATATTAGTGTGGTTTATAGGTGACAGCCACCATAGATCATTAAAAAAAAAAAAAAAAAAATTTTATATATTTACGAAATAAAAAATTTTTTTTCTCTGTTATTAAAATTCTCTGTATTAGGTTGCAATAAAAAGAATTTTTTTTTTGAGATATCATGTTTTTTTTAACTTTATTTGTTAGTTGTCTTTGTATTTTATATTTAAATTGTTATTTTATTTTTATTAACTGGAAAAATACATAATATATACAATAATATTAGAGATAAATAAATACACATTAAATATATAAATTAATAAATAGATTTTAATAAAAATTGATAAATAACCTATTAATAAAAATTAAATAAATATCCCTAAGGATTCTTTAAACTTTTTAAGGGGGGAAGGGATCCACGTAAATCTTTATGGAAAATAAGGATTTTACGTAGATCCTGACTTCCAAAACATTACACATTACCAATGATTCTAGCAAAAGATGCTACTGTAGAATTAATTGAAATTTTGATGCAATTTATTATAAAGTATATTAATAATACAGGTTTGAAGAAGTTAATCAGTTTAATTTATTACAATTATAGAAATTATTTATTAATATTTAATATTGAAATTTGCAATAATAACCAACAGTTTTGAATAATCTTCAGATATTTAATTTAGAATATCATAAGGCAAAAAGACATGTTATAAATCATTAGTAGAAGATAATAATCAAAATATTTTATCTTCTATAGTAAAATCAAATGAAGATATTCTTAAAATTTGTAGTTATTGTTTGAAAATACTAAATATAAAGCTGATAAAGAAAATATATATTGCAAAACTAAAATTTTAATTATTTGACATTTATATTTTAAAATAAAATAATATATAAACTATTAGTATTAGAATCATATTTATGTATTATTGTTTAAATAATAAAATTATGAATTTACATTAAGTACAGATTGATAGGGCAGCCAACGTCCTAACAAAAAAGGTACGTGAAGAAATGATGAAGATGTTAAAATAGTTTTAGTATAATATTCTAACAAAATACGCTTCTTTTAGCTAAACATACCAATTTTTCTCGCCAAGTTTTTTTCTGTCCGCGAGTGCTTGAACATATGCAATTTTTGAATTATTGTCTTGAAAGACGTTAAATCTTCTTCTTTGTTGTGAGGACATCCCATGATATGCTTCTGTTTCTTCTTCGTCGAATTTAAGTTGGGTGGCGATGTTAACAGCTATTTTAGTTGCTGTTAATAGTTGGAGAGTTGAGAAATGAATAGAATTTATAAGAGTAGAGTTTGAGAGATGAATAAAATTAATAGAATTGATGAGTTAAGATGATTTATTATGTATAAATACTATACTTGTATCCGAAATTATTTTAGTATTACGGAAATATGTAATTACGTAATTCTGTAATTATTAAGTAATTCATTAGAAAAACTCCGTATTCCGTAATTAATTTCGGACTCCGTAATTAATTTCGTATTACGAAAATATTTGGCCAGAATTAGCCTTAATTTTGGCCGATTTATATATAAAAACTTTAACAAATAATAACTCGGCACCCAGTGATCCGTTTTGGATGATCTTACTACCATTTGATTCGTGTCGATAAGACGATTCTAATGGTAGTAAGATCAATTAAATCCAATCACTAGATCGCGCTCCGATACCAATAACTTTTAAATATTTATAGCGTAATAGCTCCGCCAATTTCAATGCTAGAAAGATGATCTTACCGCCATTAGAATCGTCTCGTCATGACGAATCGAATGGTGGTAAATTTATTCAAATCTAATCACTAGATCGTGATCCGACACCAAAATTCATTAAATGTTTATAGTAATTTTACTCCATCAATATCGGTGCTATAGAAATGAAACACATATCATTAGATTCGTCTCGATGCGACGAATCGAATGGTAGTAAGATCATCGAAATCTGATCACTAGATCCTGAGATATTCGCAATTTCGCACTATTATGCAAATTTTGGAATTTCGGAATACGTAATTAATTACGTAATTACATAATTAATTACGATTTCGTAATTTCGGATTTCGGATTTGCCAATTGAATTTCGGAAACAACTATAATAAATACAATTAAAAAGTCACATGATGTGAAATTAAGTTAGTAAAATTTGTAAATTTGTATATGCATGATTTATTTATTTATATAAACTCAAATGGAGTTAACTGTTCTCTAATTGTTTATCTATTTAAGGAGTAAACTTATTTTTATTTTAATTGTGAAAAAATATTTTTAATGAAAAGGGCCAACACCCCATTCGGCAAGAATTTTTCCGATATCATACTACTGCGCAAAAAGCGCGCCATTGGAAACTTTAGATGAAGAAATTGGTATTTTGCGTGAACTGATTAAAGATTATAACTTAAATGATATTTTTAATTGTGATAAATTTTATATTTATAATTTTGTTAATTTTGGGATTATATTGGGACCTAACCATCAGAAACATTAGCACAAGGACCTCTTTCTGGAACAAAGAAATCTAAAAAAATACTTTTTATATGCAATGCTACTCGTACTAAAAATTAAAGCCATTGCTTATTCATAAATACAAAAATCATAAGCATTAAATGGGAAAAAGAAGAAGAATTACCAGTAAGCTATTGCTGAAATTCAACTGCATGGGTGCAAGTTTCTATATGGAATGATTATCTTAAAATATTGGATATGTTAATATTGCCCGCCCTCGTATATACTATAAATGAAGAAATAAATTTTTGCCATCAAATACCATATTTCATCTATAGCTTTATGATGCAGGAATCATTAATTCTTTTGAAGTTAGTATGTTTATTATTAATTTGCAATGATTTTTTTTACAAAATCAAAATTTGATTTATGGTAAATTTCAATGATCCAAACACAGTACTAGAAATAAATAGGATTACAAGAACTTAACAAAGAGCTTGTTCCTATGATATAAATATTTATGATTCTATTGATTTCAGCATAAAATACTTGGAATTCTGTAAGTCAACAAACTATTGTTAATTGTTGGAAACATACAGGAATTCTACCAATAAGTAAAACAGACGAAAGCAAATTACATTATGTTTATGACTCCATGCAATTTTACTATCTAACTTAGGATGATCTTATTTTATTTTTTCAAATATTCATCGGATGTTTGTATTAATTAAATGTATTGCGAAAGTTAAAGTATCAAGCATTGAAATCCATAAAGCAGACTGTTTTTTTCAGTATAGTTTTTGTATACTACGTATACCGCTAAGTATACTAATTGTCCAGAGCGTTAGCATTTTGTTAAATTTGATTGTCAGCCCATGTAATATTCCTTCCATCATCATGCTTACCCTAATAGGGTTTTTTTTTGATTGTAATCGTGTAAATGGTTACATACCATAACCATGTGATTAGATCTATTTAATACACAATATGCGATTTAATGGAAAAATTTTTTCTTTTTAACCTACACAATTATGTCTACGCATAAGGTACGAGCTTTTTTCAACATAACTTTTCCCTTTCTTTTTATTCGTCTAAAAACAGATATATGAATATTTTTTTAAGCGAAAATCGGAAGAGTGGGATATCATCGGATTTCTAAACGAATGCCATCTGGAAACGAAGCAGCAATTGATAGAGTGCTACCTTTTGTCTCTTGAGGAGATCATTGTATCAAGGAAAGGTTTCAAGAGAAAAAAAGCACAGAAATTATTTGAGTATTACATTTATAATTTGAGTTTATTAAGAATGTAGAGAATAAGTGGTATGGTGGAGATCTTCAAATTCTCTATCATTCAAGTCTTCGAGTTGAACCACAAAGTTAGTGTTGGGCACAGGCGAACTTCAAGCTCGCTTGATATTCAAGTCTTCGAGTTGACCTGACACTGACCTCACCAGAGCACAGACATACAATCTTCAAGTTTTTCTGATGTTACTTGGTGAGATAGAAAATTAGATAGAAATCCAAGATGTATTGTTTAAGAATATTACTAATTCATCAAATTTACATTAGGGTTCTCAACCAGTTCGTATTCGTGTCTAAAATTGGGAAAACAATCGTACTGGATCATTCAAAATCGGCTAACCATCAATTCACTTAAACTATCCAACGTTCACGAGGATTGGGACTGTCAATAGCAATACTGGGACTGCCAATACTGGAATTATAGACACTAGATCTTCTGTATCAGAGAAAAGAAAATTTCCAGAAATCAATGAGTCAGATCCTACAGAAATTGAGAAGTCGAATGCTACTTCTGAAGACAATGAAGATGTTAATGGAAACAATATCATTAATGACGAACAAGTAGTAAGTTATATAATTTTTCTATTTTTCTTCTTATATTTTGCATTGATATATATATATATTTGGCCTTTTTGTCGAATACACTGATAGAAAGAGCATAATCTTGAGAAAAGCTGGGAATTTAAAGAGCTAATTCCTAACGGATTCATCAACTTCGTGAAGATCTTGTCATCATAACTGACACAACTGACTTCGAATCACTTTCCCAGATGGCAGAAATGTAAGTTCACAATTATATGATTGTTTACCATAATCAAAATATATGAATGATTCTGATATCTTTCTATAGTTAGTGCCATTTGGTGGCGTATAATAGACACATGTGACCGAAATTAACTGACATTATTGCGGAATGAGAGTTTTTAAACTTAAGCGAGAGTTTACTATCTAACCTTCCATCGGACTGGAAAGTGTTAGAGCCACCAGTTGAAAGATGCTTGCACTCAATTGCAACGGTGGGTAATTATGTTAAATACCTTTATGCACTTTTTCAATTCATTATGCTCACGATTGTCTTCCAGTTGGATAAGAAAGGATTGAAGAAGGTAGCTAAAACCGTAATACATCATAGTATTTGTGATGCTATAAATAAGATTCAAAAGATTTTGACGACTTCAAATAAAGTTGAAGATGAAAACCCTTTCCTTAATTCCCACCTACTAAAATCACCAACTGCCGATAATATTGTTCAAGATGGAGATTATAAACATCCAGACGTCTGTTACATCAGGACCCCGCTTACTTCTAATATAGGTGTCCAAAAATCTGTGGTAAAATTTATAGTAAAATTAAATTTTAGGTCTCTTAATAGTTAAGGGTAAAATTATATATATAACAAATAAAGGTCTCCGGGTATGTAAGGTAAAGTTAAAATAGGTTTCCGGTTTATAAGGTAAAATTAATTAATAATTTGTATAGGTTTCAGTATATAATAAGGTAAAATTTATATTATAAATTAGATCCTTAATTTTATAAATAAATACAACACGAAAATTTACCCCTTAATTGTAATAAATAACATGTGATAAAAAAAGACGTGACGGTATAACGAAATTATAAAAAGAATTAGACGTGACGGTGTAATAAAATTATAAAATGAATTAGACGTGACGGTGTAATGAAATTACAATAAGAATTAGATGTGACGGTGTAATGAAATTACAATAAGATTTAGACGTGACAATGTAACAAATTTTAGACGCGACAGTGTAACAAATTTAAATATTAAAAATATAAACAAATTTGTATAAAATAGAATTATTTTAGACGTGATAGCGTAACGACAAAAATTTATATAAAGAACTTTAGAACAAAAGGGTGGTGGTGGGGTAAGGAAGGAGAAAATTATAAGTGCATAAATTTTTTTAAAAATTTTGTAATTTCTCAGTATTATTTTTATATTAAATAACTAATTTTACTTCATTTTAGCATAGAAAATTTTTTAATAATTTTTTAATTAATTAATAAAATTTATTAACCCTTATTTCAGTCAATATTAAACTTAGAAAGATGATTTTACTACCATTAGAATTGTCTTAATTAGATGATTTTAATGGTATAAAATTTATTAAAATTTGATTACTGGATTTTTAATAATTTGCAAATTTATATTTTGTATTTTTTTATATTAAAATTTATTTATAGTAATAAAAATAATAAAATTTTGTATTAATTAATAAATGTTTAAAAAAATTTTAAACTATTGTAAAATACTTTATTTAATAATTAAATGCTTTTAAAGAAAATTTAAGTCTCTAAAAATTTAAGGTAAAATTCAATATAATTTTAAAAGGTCACACTATATATAAGGTAAAATTATGAGACAGAAAGAGTTGGTAAAATTACTAGTAAATCTGAAATTTTGTGAGGAGACCTTTATTAGAAGTAAGCGGGATCCTGTTATATCATTGAACTTCTTCACTATACATAAGTATGTGAATTGTTATATGTAACTAGTATTTTAAGATAACTGAATATTCATGTAAACTACGTACGATATAATTGATAAAAAATACCGCAACGGGAAAATTTGGAACGGGATATTTGATGTGACTTTCAAGTTCCACATGTTTTCTTGTTTTGATGACATTATGAATTTGCATTTGTAAGTTCAAATTGTTAATTTTACAAAATCATGTTTTAATATATTGAAATTTATTATGCTTTCAATTTTTACTGATATATTATAAACCTTTTCAATATTATTAACTAGTGGCCAGAGCTTCACGACAACGCCGTACTCAGTAATCTAGTTTAGTGTACTACGCCACAGATTACTGGATTACTGCACCTGAACATGCATGTTCAGCAATATAGCAATATCTATTAATAAAGTTTAGCCAGTTCAACCATTTATTTTTTTCCATATGTGTTATAATATTTTTTGATCGATACTAACTACTGTATAATTAGTGAGTTGCGAGTGGGAATTGACTAGGAATTAGGGGAGATTAAATTTTATAGTTTAGCCGTCTATAGTGATCAGATCTAATTTAACTGGATCAAAAAATACGAATCTGTTTTCATCTGAAGTTCTTTGAATATTTGAATAAGAGATAAAAATGAATTTGGATTTATTAGAATATATTATTGGTAAATCAGCTAAAATTGATAAAAACACTATAAAATCAATAAAAAACATTATAATCTGCTATAATTTCCAAAACACTAATATGGATTTAGATAGTAGAATTTATTCCAAGCTATGTGAAGTATGCTATAGTGATGTAAACTTTGAATAATATAGAACATTAGTTGATGCATTAGGCTCTTTAACAGGAGGACATCATTATAAAATACCAGAAATGTAGTGTTTTTGTATCCATGATCTATTTAGAAAAATACTTGAAAAGAATTCAAGAATCCTTTCTAAGAATAGATATATCCTAATGTATGAAGAGTTATATAAAAATGGTAGAAATCATAGTTTTCCAACTAATTATATATATTGTAGTATATGTGAATCCTTAGTTTTCATACTTAAAAATGGTCATAATAGTTATTGCTATTGAGATAATCACTTTGTTGTATTAATGGAGATATTATTTCAAAGAAACATGCAAGAAAAAAATATACTCTTCAATCTATTGATAGAGAATTTAATATCTAGCAATATAAACAATATATATTAAAAGAAAAGGCAAAAATAAAGCATCTTCAACTGGAGTTTTAATCACAATCTACTCCATACTCAAAAAAGGATAAATTGGCATTAATATCATATAATTATGATACTTATTCAATTAGTTATGAAGTTTACCTCTTAGCTAACAAAAGTAACCATAGCAAAAAATATTATGCCAAATACTTTAAATTTTGAGTCAACTTGTATTTCATCTATTAGATAAGAAATGATTTTACCAACTTCTTATCAATTATCAGATCTTAAAGGAATTATAAGTAAAAAACAAAATAATTTATTATCATCTAGTATAAAAGATACTGTATTAAGATTAAGAGATAGAATAAAAGTTACAATTGTTTAACTGGTTTGACTAATTGATTTAGAGAAATATTTTAATTATATATAGATATTTATATTAACTAAGGTTGCTTGTCTAAACCTCTTCAAAATCCTACGATTAGTTTCATCAAAATTTTACTATAGATTTATTATAGTTTTGGCAGAGTTTTGGCAGTTTCAGCATTTATAATAAGTTTCGGCAGTTTCGCCTTTTTCCAAAGTTTTGCCAGTTTTTTAATATAACTTTAATATAGTTTCAGCAGAATTTCGCTTTTTGGCGAAATGCCATCTTGTCTAAACCCTAGATTTCGGCAAGCAACCTTAATCTCAACTATATTCAAAAATTATTTTTTTGCAAAATAAATAACTATATAGATGATCATTTGTGAAATGTATCACCTGCAGAATAAAAATTGGTCAAAGGTGTTATGCATAATCTGCTTATTTAATCTATAAGAAAATATTTTTTAAGAAGTTTAGAAAAATTAATGAAGCGATCTTAGCAATTCTTAATTTCTAAATATTACTATAATTATAACTTTAAAATTTTTTATGTAATAGTTATCCAGCAAGCTTATAAAAAAAAACCTAAATCTTTAAAAAAATAGATTTGAAAGGTGGTGAGAAATGATAGTATTTCTGACAATAAAAAGTTTTTAGATATTATTTCTTATGGTAAAACATATTATTTTATTAATGGAAAACTAATAAAATTTAATTATATAAATGACTGATTTTATGCAAAAAATAAGCATAACATGTATTTTGCTACTATTAGACAAAAGCAAAGAGAAATCATTTATATAAATAATTAGATACTGTAGTATACATAGCTACTACTTTTAAAGTATTATATCAGCAAGACTATAATTATTAGAAGTACAGGCTGATCTATCATGTTAAAATTATAGAATTCCAAATATTATCAAAAATATAACTTTAAAAATATTATCAGAATTTCAGATTGGGAGAGATATAGGAGTAAATCAACAGAAATACAAAGAATATGTAATTTACTGCTATTAGAATTCCTATACTATATTTATAGAAAGAATGTTATTATGAAATTTCTCAAATTTAGATGATAATAGTAAATTTATGCATCAAATTTTTCAGATCAGTCTTTAACTCAAATTCTGAATATTATCTTAATAAAATAATATATTATTAAGTCATAATATATAGATACTATATATAATATAAATTAGCATATTTTTGATTCTTATTAAAGTATATATGATGTATTAGGTGATACTCTGCAAATCATCTGTGAAACTATGCTTGTATAAGTGTAATAAATAAATTCATACATAAACTCAATTTTCCAAAATATTTCAAATTTTTTCCTTACAATATTTAGCAGAATAACATTTAGCAGAATAGCATTTACTGATATGGATATTTGCTTCAGAGGGATGCGATATTTCTATTATATTCCAAGTAAAATAATATCTATATATATGCTAGGTCTTTATGCGATCAATAAAAAAGTTTATATATGTAATACCAGAATCCCGAATATTACTAAAACAATTCAAATCCCATATAACAAAAATTTCAAAATGTGATATCTCAGTCAATATTATACCTAAAAAGATGAATTATATATCAAAATGTTCGTCTCATTAAGATGAATTTAACAAGTCAAATATCATTAAAATCTAATTACTGGATCTCGAGATAGCAAAATTTGAGATTAAAATATACATATAACTTTATATATTTGGAACAAGACACGTGATTTTAAATGAGTGCTTCAGATATTACAAGGAATTCCATTATCTAATTATATCAAATTATATTTTATATATATATTGTATTTAGCTTAATAGATAAATAATATTTGGAATATATCTTTTTAGTCAATTAACCTTATTTTTTTGTTAAGTAATCATAAGATCCAATATAATAAAAAATGTGTTTATAAATTTTGTTTATATAATTTTATTTTATATTTACTATTGTTTATACTTCTCTGCTAATTAATTACGTCATATTTTGGTGAACGGACCAATTCACTATTTATTATAAAATTACTATGAATTAATTACATCTGTCAAAATAAATTTAATTAGTATTTTGTCATTTTAACAAAAAGTATACTATTGTTAAATTAATTTTATTGTATTAGACTGGAAATTCAAGTTTAATGTATTTTATTATTATTATATTTATTATAAATTTTATATAAAATTAGTATACTTAATTTCACTATTACAAGGTTAATTATAAAGACTAATTAGAATAAGGTATGAAATCAGTCAAATCACATTTTAAATGTACATATTTACTGAATTCAATTTTTCAGGTAATATTTGTATGATATATAAATTTAATATTAAATAAAATTATATATACAGTATTTAATTAAATTTTTATTTTTTTAAAAATGATTTTTTTAATAAATATTTTTTATATAATAGTAAGAGATTTACTTTTAAAAGCAGAGAGTTTATTAAAAGGTTGATTTTTAAATAAGATAATAGATTATCTTTAAAGAAAAATTAAAATATAAATATACAACAGATGCATAATATTATTATACTGTATATATCTGTTATATTTGCAAAATAATTTTATATTAAATTACTATTTTTATATAAAATCTTATTTTACAAAATTTTATTATGGTAAAAAAAAAAAAATCTGTTATAATTTAATTAATTGTTATAAAATAAATTATTTTGTAGTTTGTACAGTTTACTTTGTTATACATTCATTATACAGTCTTTAAATGATCTTTTAAATAAATTAAAATATTTTTTTAAAAAAAGGATTATTAAATTATCTAAATTCTATAAAAAATTATTTTCTATAATTTGAAAAACTTCAATTTCTTCAACATAAAATTCTTCTTCATTATCTCTTATATTTTGTTCATAATAAACTTTAGTACAAGAACCATATCTTGGTCTAGATTTATGTCCAAACCAAATATCACCATAACCAAAACATGGTCCATGGAATTGTGTATCAAAAATAGCACCATCAATAAAATAAGGTCTAACTTTACTAATTTTTAGCATTGTTCCGAATGATTGTTGTTGTTCACTATCAAATTGCAATAAAGAAATATCTTCATCGTCTAAATCAGTCATAGAAAATATAAAACTATCACCTGTAGCAATATAATTTCCGTAACTATACCATCCTATAGGATTATAACCCCCAATAATTTCGTATGAATCGGCAATTTTAATAAATACAGCAGTAGGACCATGATTATCAACATTTTTATGAAAAGATTCAAAAGAAAATCCATCTCTGCTACCACGATAAATTAACTTAAACCTGTAAGGAATATTTACTCCATCATCTTTAATCAAGTGAGAAGAATGTGGTATCGTTAATGGTAATGATGATGATGTTGAATTATTATTTTTTCCTTCAATATAACTTGAAATTAATATAGCATGTTTTGATGAAATTATTTCAGAATCTAAATTTTTTGGTGTAATTCTAGCAACTTGAATTTCTGTATATTTTGGTTCTTCACCTGTAAGATAATATGATAAAAGATCCTGTCGTAATTTTTTTGGTAAAATCAGTTCAAATGGCCATACTTTATGATAAAAGTCTTTTGATGATATATTAAAAAATCTAATAAGTGGAAGTAAATTATGAAGAGTTTTTTCTAAATTTGAGAAATCTTGTGATGAAAAATTTTCCAAATCACTTTCAGCTGGAACGTCAGAATTTTCTATTCCCCATTTTATTAAAAAACCCCATATATCCTAAAAAGAAAAAAAAAAAAAAATTTAAATAAAATTCTCTAAACAAATTTCAAGCAATAATATTTTAACTTACTATTTCTTCAATTCCAAGATCATCTTTTTTAAGTAATCGTGATATTACAGTTTCGCTTATATGAAGTAGTTCTTCAGATTTAAAAAAATTCCAAGCATTTTCATTAATTATATTTAAACAAAATTTTCGTAATTTTTCACAAGATTCATGATCAAATGCAACTTGTATAACACTAAAAATATTTTGTTGCAACCAAGTAACTTTATATGTTATTAAATAATCTTGTACATGATTAAATAATTCGAACAAACATAATTCATCTGATGCTTCTATAAGTTTAAAAATTTCTAAATCTTCGAGTTGTTCTAAATAAATTGTTCCGCTATAAATATACCTAAACAATAAAAGGATTTTTTTAGAATTTTTTTTTTTAAAAACAAAATACAAAATACAAAATATAGTAGACTTCATTTCACCTTAAAATGATATTAAATGCATTATAAGAAATGTTTGGCTTCTTAAATATGATCATATCACCTTCTTTTCTTAACCAATCATTTGATAAAGCTGTATGAAAATATTCTGACCTAGCTCGTAATATAGAAGAGTGCGCTCTAAATGTTTTTTCTTGACCTACTTCAATTAACACATTATGATCATCTGCTTTTTCTAAAAGATTTATTAAATCAAAAGAAAGTGTCGACAAGTATTGTGACATTATTATTATTATTAAAAAAAAAAAATATCGATTATGTAGGGAAAAAGAAGTATATATGGAATTACTAATTAAAACATTAAAAAGTAATAGACGGTGCGACATGTTACGTCATACAATTACGTAACAAATTAATAATGACATCACCTCACTGATAATCTAGCGCGTTTTTTGAAAAATTAAAATAAAATATTTATAAAATATTTACATCAGATGCAAAATGATGAATTTTCAAAAAAGGGAATTTATAATAATTGTTGGTTTTTTTTATTTTTTATTAGATAAACAAGAATTTAAAAAAATTTCATGATCACTCATACTATTAGTAATGCTCATGTGTAATTTAAGTTGTTCTCTATTTTGTGAATAACCAAATTGCCAACTTAATTCAGGAATTTCACTTCTAAGATATTGACCAATATCAGTACCATACTTGTTCAAAAAGGTATAACCAACACAACCAAAAGGTTTTACCAACAGATCAATATCTTCTACTATAATAGCTTCTTTCTTATAAGGAAGACCCAAATTCATAAATGGAGGCCAACCATTTTTACTAAAAGTTACCGTAATTTCAGTTTCGCAAATACTCATGACTTCTCTTATAACATTACGTAAAGCGTATACAAATTGATCTAATTTTTCTACAGTAGGATTAATCGTAAAAGAGAGTGAGGAAGGCTTTAATGGTCTTTCAAAAGGAATTTGAAAATAATCCAATTCAGCCTCTATTTCTTCAAAAGAAATTGAAGGAAAGTATGATGATGGCAATGATGAAACATCTTTTAAGTCGGATGGATTATAAGGTAAATATATTTTTCCCGTACGATAATATTGCATTACATAACGAAATAGATTTCCATCACGATCGAGAAAATATTCATTTTCATTTTTCGGATGTTGTAATGATTGATTACGGTCAGCGAACATTGTTCCTAAAAGTGTATCAGGATAATACACAAGTGTTGACTTACGTGTTTCATACTATAAAGAAAAAAAACAATCATTGTTTTTATTAATAATAGATTAAAAAATTTTTCAAGATTATTTTTTATTATACAATTTTTCTTTTTTACCTTGATACCACCAACGTTTAATATAATAGTTTGTTCAGCGGAAGTACAATTATTTCCCAAATCTGCAACGTTATTATTTTTTTTTCTATTTGACATGATTATCGTTCTATTATTTGTTTTGTAATTTTCTGTAATTAAAAAATTAAGGAAAGAAAAAAATTTTTGAAAAAAAAGCAGGGTTTTAAATAAAAAAAAAAAAAAGTTCATATTTTATACGGAGTTCAAAACATAACTTTATTATGTTTCACCATGTTTAATTTTGTACCTCGACGAAACAATGAATATTTGTACAACCAAAGGTAAAAAAAGTAAAATCAAACAAATGAACTGCATATTAGCTGTATTAATTTGTACGACATTTACATAAATATAAGTAATATACTAAATCTGTACGTTATTTGTCATTCAAATTAAGTAAATTATGGTTTAATAGTATAATAAATTGCTAGAACAGCATGTGTTGCATATAAATATGTAATTAATCTTCCTTTCATAGTTAATTTTTCTTTCTTCTTCGGCATCACTAAATTTAATTCTTTTTTTTAACAAAATATCCGAATATATATTTCCATAAATTAAAACGAAGAGTAATTTCCGTTAATAATGATGAATAATTATTAATCTACCTAAAAGATAATACACATAATAATTAAAGAATATAAACTTTTTCGCAAACTATCATTAATTATCAGGAAAGTTTAATAAATTAAGAAAAAAAAACTTACTTTTTTTGCTTTATGATCTTTGTCTTCTCATAGGTAAGTTAACTTATATGCATAATAATATCAGATATGCTTTAAACTCTCTAATTTATGGTTTATATTTGTTCTTGTATGACGACATTATACGTTAGTAGCTTTTTCGTCAATTTGTAAGTATAAATATATACATATACATATATATATATATATATGTTCTATTTTTAAATTGTTTAAATTTGTATTCCAAAGATGTAACATATTAATAAGAATGAAATTTTTAATTTTTCATGATTATTAACACTGAAAATTCTGAGGGGTGATTTTATATCGTAACATTGTATCTTTATTATAAATTTAATACTTACTTTTTAAATTACTTTAATTTCATTACATTGTATGATGCAGTATTGCGTGCGTTTGATAGATTTCAAGGGGGGAGGGGAAAAAGGTAAGAAATAATGATAATTTATTAAGTTTTTAATGAATATGATTGTTAATACGTTCAAATATAATCAAATATTTATATTGTTTATAAACATTATTATATACCTAATAGATCTATCTCATTATTTTATATTTCAGTGGATCCGTTTATAAAAATTTATAATTCACATGGTACGGCTTTCGCGAATTCTTTTGACCATTTATGGATTTATTTTTTGGGGCTTTTTCTCAACTAAAAGGCTATATTAAAACCCACAGTAGTTTAAAAAAGAAAACCAATCAACTTTGGTGTAACTTCAACGTTAAATTAAAAATAAATAATCTGCATTTTTATTGTAACCCATCAAATTCGATTGTCTTTTTTTTTTTTTTTTTTTTTTTTNGTTTGACAATTATAACTTATACCTTCTACTTAAGAAAAAAAAATAATAAAAATATAAAAATATATATATATATATATATTGTATATATTTTTTCAAGATTGAGAAAAAAACAAAACTTTTTATTTTTTATTTTCAAAGAAATAATGGCACTAGAATATTTTTCAGCAAAACTTTCGCTTGATTATACCAAATTATTAGAAACATCAAATGATTATGATGTAATTATAGAAATAGGAGAACGAGAAAGATCAAATGGAAATATCAAATCAATTTTCACCTTAAATAATGAAGAAGAAGAAAATTTTAAAATATTTAAAGCACATTCAATAATATTGAAAACACGGTGTAAATATTTTGAAGCAGCATTATCACACGATTGGGTAAAAATGGATAATGATGATAAAATAATATTAAAAAATCCAAATATTTACCCAAAAACTTTCTCTATAATTTTAAAATATATTTATGATGGTAGTATATCCTTAGAATATTTATCACCATCCGATATTATAATATTATTAATATCATCAGATGAATTGGCAATAGAAGAATTGATCGGTTATATACAAAAATATTTAATAACATATCATTCAAAATATATTCAAGAAAATATTCATCAAATATTAAATTTAAGTTATAATCATTCATCATATAAAGATATTCAATCTTTTTGTATAGAAAAATTAATAATGAATAATCCTATATTATTATTTAATTCTATTAATTTCTTTTATTTATATGAAGAAATTTTATTGGAATTATTGGAAAGGGATGATTTTAATAAATTTAATGAAATTGATATGTGGAATTTTATTATTAAATGGGGAATTTATCAATCAAATGATCAATTATCAATATTAGATCATAATGATGAAGAATGGTTATTAAATTTGGAATTAAAAGATTTAATAGATTATTTAATTAATACATGTTCTTGGACTACAAAAGAATTTAATATATTGGGTAAAATTTTAAAAAATTTATTAACAAAAATTCGTTTTATAGAATTTTTAAAAGTTGATTTCATAAAATATATTACCCCATTTAAAGAAATATTTAATAATGAATTTTATGATCAATTACAAGATCATTTTTATTCTTTCCCAAATAATCTTTTACCCCCTCCCCCTTTTAAATCATTACCTTTTGATGATCTAGATCCTATAAAATATTATACACTTAATAATAATGATAATAATAATAATAATAATAATAATAATAATATAATTAGTAATAATAATTTTCCAAAGAAAATTATTACTTTAAAACCCCCTAGGCGTAGATTAAATTCTGAAATTATAACAAATTATCATATAAAAGTAATAACTAATTGGTTAGATCATAAGGATAATAATATCTCTCCATTATCTTCTCATTGTTCTTCTTCTTCTATTATTTCCCAATTCACTTTAACTCCTACTACCACCACTTTTTTAACAACTTCATATGCAATTCCAACCAATGGTCATCCATCTTCTCTACTTAAACCACCTTATAAATTTACGTTATTATATAGAGCGTCAAGAGATTCTTTTGATCTATATAATTTACATAGAATATTAGATAATAAATTAAATATAATGATCATAGCAAAAATTTCTGGTACAAATGAATTGGTAGGTGGTTTTAATCCAGTTGGTTGGAATAATTCAAATAAATCTCATCCTGATTCAATTAATAGTTTTATATTTTCTTTTCGTGATAATAATTCTTCTTCTACATGTTCTAATAATAACTCTCCTCCACTTATACCAAGATTGAGTAGGTTAAAACGAGAACTAATTGATAAAACTGTATTTAATTCAAAAACTGGTTTCATTTCATTTGGTGGTGGTAGTGATTTAAGAATTGGTGGTATTTTGAATAAAAGAACTGGTTATACTAAAGCGGAATATTATGAGAATAGGATTAGAGATATTCATGGTACTTTTTATATTGATGACTATGAAGTATTTCAAATTAGTTAAATAATTTAAAGTAATTTATAATACTTTAGTATCTTGAAATTGTATTTTTAAAGTAAATTATATTTTTCCTTTTTTTTTTTTTTTTTGTTAATATTTTATTAACAAATAAACATTATGTATATTTGAAAAACTTCTATTACATACGACTATAATTGTCAATATTATACATGTATTATAAATAATTAAATATCTATTTACTTAATTTTGTAAATTTATTTCCGATTCATTGTCGAATGAGGCGTAAATAATTGCAGAGAGTGCTTGCAATTCTTTACATTCTTTAATCGCCTATAATAAATAATTACATTATTAACCTGTAAGTTTTATTAAGTAACATACAAGTAATTTACAAACCTCAAGAAATCTTGCTGGTGCACAATTAAGGACAGCGTGAGCTTCTTTAGTAATGGATGGTAACAATTTTGCAAGTGTTATATTCTTTTCAACTTTTTCTCCACTTATTGCATCTTCAGAACTAAAATTTGAAGACATGTCCTGATTTAGTAAATCAAAAGCTGATTTAAGACACGCCGAAAGAACTGTAGCTAAATCCCGACTTTATGTGAAAAAATTTTTTTACGTTAATATCTGTAAAGTTACTTTCAAAGTATAATCAAGTTTTTTCAGATACCTATGTATAAAATCTTTAGTTTCGTCCAATAACTTTCTCAAACTTGAATCAATAGTAGAATCTAAATTATCTATCCCACATTCATCCAATATTCGTATTTCATCTGATAAATTTTCAGGCATCATTACATTAAAAAATCTAAAAATTTATATTTTCAAGGTTAGGAAACATAGAGTGAGATCGTGAGCGAAAGAAAATTTAAATATTAAGTACTTATGAGCAGGACCATCATTATCATTTCCTTCAATCTTTGATCTAATTTCAGATATAAGCCATGCATATTCTTCATATGAAAGTTCGGTTTTGAGTGACATGCTAATAAAAATACAAATTAAAATTATTTTTTTATAACATATAAATAATATATGCGTGATCATTTTACCTTGATAAAGAAGATTCAACAGCTGCACTAACTCTTGTAACAATCTCTTTATATCCCACATTCAAAAACCATGCAATAAAAGCCAAATATTTTTTCTCTGTTACAGGACTCAATAGTGATCCATTATGAACTGTAATCGATTGTTCTCTATCACGTTCTGTAAGAGAAACAGAATAAAGATAATTATATCTTCCCAAAAGATTTAATTGAATGAAAATGGTTAACGTAAGAAGTGTTTCAAGATACACAGCTGCAATGGTTCTTGTGAAACCTAAAATACAAAAAAGATTAATTCATTAAATATTGATAAGAATGTGTAGAATGTTGGAATGTGCTCATTTTACTTACTTTTGAATTTTATTTCGTTCCATAATTCAATTCGTTTTTGCTTTGATATTTTGCTGGCTTCTTCAGAATTATTAATAGGACTAATTGGAGAATTTACTTCAGTTTCTTGACTCATGTTACCAGAATTACTTCCATTATTATTTTCTCCTTGACTATGCGTGGTGGTTTCTGTAACTTTTGCCATTTCATTGTCACTTTCATTTGACCGACCAACTAAAACAACTGATGATGAAGGCGTTGATGTTGTAGATTCATTATTATCGTTATTAACAAGAACAACTGACGTAGAACCAATGGAACCGATGGAACCAATTGATGCCGTAGCATTGTCATTAACTGTTGTATTCGGTGACTCTGAATTTGATGACGCCATATTTGTAGTCGCATCACTACTTATCCCCTTATTGTTTTGTTTTGCTTTTTGTAAATTTGCAAAAATTGATTCTACATCTAAATCGTCCGTTAATTGCTGTATTAATGCTTGAATATGTGATAATACTATGTAAGTACAATCAATTTGTCTTTGATGAAATCTTTTCTTCATGCTAAAAAGAAAAATGAGAAAATTTATGATATCAATAAAAAAAAAAAAAGTTTCTCGAAATAAATAAGATTAATGTAAGTAAATTACAGACTTTTCTCTAGCAGTTCGTTCCGAAGCAGCTCTTTCTTGCATTTCAGATATTTTCCACGTTACCCATTTTCCAATAAAATATATTCCACCTGTAATACCCAAAGTGACAAAAAATTTTCTCTGATGTTTTTTAAGAAATCTTTTAGTAGCCGAAATCATTTTTTTTTTTTTTTTCGGTCCGAAAAAAAAGAAATTTTTTTTTAATCTCGAAAAAAAAATTTATGATCAAAATTATGTAATATGATAAGGTAACAGTATGGACTGTATGGTAACCCATTCCCATGTTCCGTTAAGGTAACTGTGATGAAATTTATTTGTCGCATGGTTATTCATCCCCGAATACCACGTGAATTAAATTGGTGATGGTATTTTAATGATTTTAACGCGCAAAAACTTTGTACTCACCTTCCTTTCGTTCATTTATCAATTTGCAAAAATGTCATCATCAACGCGATATAATTCAAGTAATACACAAGATAATTCAGATAATTCACCATCACTTAATAATGTTTTGGAGATTGCCAACAAAATCGAATATAAGATTGTAAACTAATAAATTTTTTTAATTTTTTATTTATTTTTTTTTAAAAAAATAAATAAATAATTTTTATTATTAAATAGGGGCCAGTTACATTTCCTTCTTCACAAACGGCATCATCAATACAATTAATTGATTTGATAAGAGAAATACTTGATCTTTGTGATAATGTACAACAAGTAAGAATGAATTATAAATTAAAATAATAAAGTTTATAAAAATAATAATATTTTTTAATCATCAACTTTATTATTATTATTTTTCAAGATTCGAGAAGTTCTTACAAAATTTAAAGATTCTAAACAAAGTTTCGATTTAGTTAAAAAAATTGAAATCGGTTTGTTTTTAATATAATAATAATATTATTAATTTATTATATTAAGAGTCTTTTAATTATTATTATTTATTATATATATAATAAATCTTTTTTAATGATTTTTTTCAATTTTTTTCATTGTTTTAGAAAAAAAGATTAAAGTATTATCAGATTTCAATAATCATATAGAATCTATATTATCGGATAAACAATCTTTGATAATGAGAATTAAAGATCCTTTTGTTGGAGAACATATTAATATCGAACCGGAATATCACAGGCATATATTTTAAAATTAGATGTTTTTCATTAATTCATTAATTAAAAAATATTAAATTCTAAATAAATACTTTTTATATAATATAGAGCTTTTTCAGAATTATTCCCAGGTATTACAAAAAGTATTGCATCATTACCTAATGATATTGAGAGCACTTTATGGATAAAAAATCATTCTATCACAGATGATAAGATTGTATGTATTTTAAATTGTATTGTAAGTTATATTGTTCTATAAAAGTGATAACAACTAAAAATATATATATATATATATTTGATATTATTAATTCAGAGTAATCAAATCTATGGAATTGCATCTTTAGCTGCAATGTATGGAAATTATTTTGATAGTCTTGAGAGAGTTAGACAATTTTTAAAGCAAATATATGACATTGACACAGGAAAGGGTAAAGATTAATTTACCGTATTGATGGAATAATCATTCTTGTAAATAAAATCATTAGTATTATCAAACATAGATCGACAATCTTGGACATTTGTACCCTTAAATAATCTTGATTGATTTTCACAATTTTTCAATTTGAAATAATTATTCATATTTCTTACGATTTTTTTAATTATGGTATTTGAATATAAGTCTTATTAACTATTTGAAAAATTTAAAATTTAAACGAAGACATAGTTAAAGTAAATAATCCAATAAGAGTTTTATGAATCTTGTTGTGCAAGCGCAGCATTTAATCTTGTTTCTCGTATTAATCGTATTAACTGGCAACTAATGTTAATGAAAAGTGAAACCCTAAATATCTTCAATATAGTGATCTAAATCACAAATACAACTAGTTTATAATATCTACCCTTGATTTATCTTCGAGTCAATCGTTCAACTACAACGTGAATGCGGTTTTTTTCCGGTGTTTGGGCCCAATATTCTTCAATTTCTCGTGTCGGCATTAGCTCTACATTGTATCTGATCTCATCTTGCCCATCGTCGCGAACATTTACCATCCATAATTTAAGATCTTTGCTATCAGTTTTGGCAAAAGCTCGTGGTTGATCTAACCTGATTTTCTTTTTGAGATCACTAATGGTCTCATTCTTATTAATTTTTATTGCGAAGGCGCGCATAGTTCCTTCTCCTTTAACAAGACAAAAAAGCCTAATAGCCTGCATGGTTAGTTACGTTTTGAAAAAAGTTTTCTGAATTCTGATGACCTTTATATTTAATTGTATCTTTCCTTTCTCACACTAATTTAATGTGAAAAAGTCTTATAAACAATTAAATATTATCTATTCCGAACTATATAGGCGGAATAGGCCATTACTATCACTATTATAAAATCAAAATGAGATCGTTAAATTCTTTTTCATCTTTTTGATGTCACCGTTTATATAATGTTTAAACCATGTTAGAAAGCAATATTATATAATATTCGACTAAAAAAAATAAATTTTTTTTTTCATAACGTAATTGCTTCTTATATAATACGATATGTAACAATCATGATTTTATTTGTTATTTCTATATTCTACATTCTATTGTACAGTATTACTAAATTAAATTTTATTTTTTAGGTTCTTTAAATCTTTTCAACCATAAACTACTTAATACTACACTAATAGAACTAACTGCCATTGATAAACTAGCAAGTTCAGGTCTAAGACTATATTTAAATGCAGGAAAGAAAACACCGGCTGCAATAGGTATCGCTAAAGAATTGTAAATATAAGCCCATAAGAAATTATATCTGATCCTCCATATTATAGCTTTAGAAAGTGCTATTAACGTAATTAAAGAACTTAAAGTTGATCTTGTCAAAATAATAGAAGCCGATTCTATAGCGACATCTGTAGCACTTGCTACTGATATTGGTAAATCTGATTGTGCGAGAGCAGGTGAATCATTAATACCATCACCAATCATTGCAACTACAGCTCTTCTCGTTATTTCAATATCAAATTTGGGAGTAAAAAATGTAGTAAATATATTTGATTTTTTTAATGGGCGTCCTTTGCGTTGTAACCATTTAATTTTCTCTGCTTTCATTTCAGGTGTTACTTCGGCTAGAACATTCTCGATTCCAAGTTTTTTAGCAATAGCCTTAGCCGTTATAGGATTATCTCCTGTAATCATCCAAACTTCAATTCCACGAGCAATTAATTCGGAAACGGTTTTGGCAGCATCTGGTCTTGGAGTGTCAGCAATTCCCATTTGCGCAAGAATATAACCATTGGATGATTCAAAAAATGATAATCCAACAAGAACTATTGAATAACCGGAGTTTTTCCATTTTGCAACATTTGAAGATATTATGTTTTCACTAAGAGAAGGATAAACGCATCTATTCTTTTTAAGCCACCTTTCATTACCAATAAATACATTAAATGTTGAACCAGGATTTTTGGTAGGTAATAATTCACATGCAAGAGGATCATTAATTTCCACTTCAGCTCGAAGCCCTTTTCCAGGAAATTCGGTCACACTTTTCAATATGACATTATTTGAAAATTTAATTTTCGAGGAAGCAAACTGAGCGACAGCTTTGGCCAATGGATGATCACTTGAAGATTCAACAGTTCCAATGATTTGAAGATATAAATCACGAACTTTACTTACATCTTGTGATTCTTTTCCAAGAAATTTTGAACAAACGACTTTTGGTTTTCCATAGGTCAATGTTCCAGTTTTGTCAAATGCGATAGTATCAAGTCGAAAAGTTGTTTCAATAGCTTCACCACCACCTTTTATCAAAATACCAAATCGAGCTGCAAGACCAGTTCCAACCATAATAGCAGTGGGAGAGGCTAAACCCATGGCACAAGGACATGCAATAACCATTACAGATATAGCAAAGAATAAAGAAAATGTTTGATATGGTTCATTATTGGGTATCCAATCATTTGGAATCTTACCGGCAGCACCAAGAGATACCCATATAATGAAATCAAGAATTGCTATTGATATAACGACCGGAACAAATACTTGTGCAATTTTATCAGCTAATGCTTCAATTGGTGCCTTTTTACTTGATTGAGCCGTTTGTACTAGTTCAATAATACGTGAAAGTGTTGTATCAGAACCAACACGTGTCGCTTTTATCCAAATCATTGATGACAAATTTACTGTTGCGGATATAACTTCGTCATCAACTCCTTTCGTCACGGGTATAGATTCGCCTGTTAACATTGATTCGTCCAAAGATGTGGTACCTCGGAATATCTTGCCTAAAATATTAATATGTAAAAGTTTTAACCTGTTTGTTATAAAGAACGATATGAATTATTACTTATATATACTAACCATCGCATGGGATTTTTGCTCCAGGGTTCACTTTAAGAATATCATTAACTAAATTGATTTTAAAAAATGAAAGAAATAAGTAATCCAAAAAAATAGATATAATATATAATATAAAAAAAAAAATATTCTTTTGACAATTTTACCTTGAACGAGATCCATATCAATTTCTTTTTCGTCAATAACTTCTTGTTTGTTTTCATCATAACCAAGAGTGATAAGAATAGCTTTTTCCGGTTGTAATTCCATAAGTTTAGTTATCGTTTCAAAAGTTTTACCCTTCACTTTAGCTTCCATCCATCTTCCAAGCCAAATAAAAGTGATAAGAAAGACGCTAGTTTCAAAGAATTGATAACCAGGTTCTTCAGATTTTCGAAGAATTGGGATCAAAACATTTAAAATTGAGCCACAATATGCAACAGTGGTTCCAATCGCTACCAAAGTATCCATATTTGCTTGACGAGAATACCATACTGAACGAATACCTTTTAAATAAAAAGGATAACCAAGTACAAATTGAACAGGAGTAGCAAGAGCGAACAAAATTATGGTTCCGACTTCCAAACCGGGGATGATCTGATGTGAAATTACAGGATTATGATATATCATCATGAATACCATTGAAATTAAAGCTGTTGGGATAGAGAAACATAATGAGGCCAAAAATCTGTTACGAAGAAGTTTTTGATATTTTTCAGCACGACGTCGAATTGAATTTCCATTATTATCAGATCTATCCCTCTTAATAAGTTCAGCACCAAAACCACTTTCTTCAATAATTTTTATAAGATCACGTGGACCAATCTTATTTAAATCGTGTTTTATACTTGCTTCACCAGTAAGTAAATTAACATGAGCGTATTCTACGCCTGGTACCGATTCTAGAGAGTATTGAACTGAGCTTACACAGGAAGCACAAGTCATACCACTAACAGCTAATTTTGTAATTGTATCATGGAATGAAGTTTCGCCTTCTTGAGATGAAATATTGAGTTCCTCATTAAGGGCTTTTCTCGGATTGGAAGGATCAATGTACTTTTTTTCAATTTTAATATTTTCGACGTTAAAACCTGAGTTAATTATAGCTTGTTTAATTTGTTCGGGTTTTATTACATTTTCATCGAATTCAAAAATAGCATTACTCGTTAATAAATTGACGTTAATTGTAGTGGGATTTAAACCTGAAAGTTTTTTTAATGTGTTTTCAGTAGAAAGGACACAACTTGCACAAGTTAAACCTGACAAAGAGAAGTTTGCCTTTGATATTTTCTCGTCCATTTTTTTCAAGATTTTTTTTTTATAATGAGAAGATATAAGAAGTTCACTGATAAAAAATAAGAGGAGATCATTTTTAATTTCTATTTATACTTATTCTTACAGTTCTTTTAAATCAATCATTTTTGGGAAATATTATATGATCTCACGATATTGATATGAGGGATTTTTGCCGATTACTGACTTACTATCTTAGGAAAAATTGATTTACTTCCGAAATTTGAAATTACTGATTACAGTAATTTAATAAAAAAAAAAAAATCCCGCATTTTTTGCTATTGGCTAAAGCTACAATTATGGGAAACTTTAATTTGCAGGTTATTTAATAATTATTTTTAACATAAAAGTCACACTTTTATTAACTTTATTAAATAAATAACATTTTAATTCCCACATTTTTTTTTCTAAATAAATATTTCGTCATATCTTGAAAAGAAAAAAAAATAATATTGTTTGAATTGATTGTTTGAATTGTTTCACTGTAAACATGAGGCCCGAAACTTCCGAGAGGATTTCCGAAAGTTTAGGATTTCGGAATATACAAATCGAAACCTAAACAAATTCCGAACCCGAAACTAAATTCCCGAAGCTCACTATCGATGTTTGATAATCATTTTACTTTTTAAGACTTAATTTAGAAGTCTTTTACTCTTTTTTAAATAATAAAATGTCGGATAGTTTATTACAAAATTCAAAAAAAAACAAAGTCTGCAAGTAGTACTGGTGGAAGCCAATTTGGAGATTTTTTGAGCAAGGAGATGAATTAGACAAAGAGCACTATGTTACAAGTAACTTTAATTCGTTTTATTAATATAATTTTATGTAATAAACATTGTGAACTAATTAATAGGTTTCGGTTATATTTCGGTATATAAAAGTTTCAGGAGTTTCGGATTAGATTCGGGATTCGGGATTCGGAAAATAAATGCATGTTTCGAAAACCTAAAGGGTTTCGGAAGGTTTCGGTTTCGTGCTCCATGTTTAATTGTTCGTCATTTCCGCCAACATTTTAACAATTATACTATGATGAATAATGCATTTTAAAGTATCTAAATAAAAAAAAAAAGATGTACGCCATTTCATCACAAGATTCACAAAATACTTTATTATTTCACGTGCATTATTATTAAATTTTAAGGCGCCTGTTGATCATTCGTATTACAATATTATGAAAGAATGAATTTTTTTTAAATTTTAGTCGAGAGAAAAGCATTTTTTTTACTTTTAAAAATGATTTTAACACTTGATTGAATCATGGAATTCATAAAAGGGAATTTAAGGAGAAATTGCGGCATTTTTTTTTTTTGATTAAATGAAAAATGATTATTCAGATTTTCACACCAAAATGATGATATTTCGGAATAGAATAACGCAATCATTTCTAGTAAAATCAGCCCAAATAATTTTTTTTTTTTTTTGTTTCAAAAGTAAAAAAGTAATTGGCTAATAACAAAAATATTAATTTTTAAGTTATTCGGATTAATTTATTAAAATTTACCCGTTATGTTATGTAATAGTTGAATGTGAGATAACCATTACATAATTTAATTAATTTATCATCTTTTATTATCATCACATTATTTTTAAAATATCATGTGCATTATATTATATCTGAATCTTGTACTGTAATTCCTAATTTCAACTAGAGGTAAGTTCATTGAATTCATTAAAAGTTGTATTTTCATATTTTGAAATAGAGCAAATAATGAAAATAATAAAAAATAAGAATTTTAATTCTTTGAAAAGAATAGCAGTAAAATATTTTAAATCCGATAAATCCGTATGTATAATTATATCGAAAGATATTCCTACAAACTTGGGGGTATAAAGATAAGATATCAAGTTTTGATAAAGGCTAATAAATCATACATACATACTTTTATTATTATTCAGCCAAATAAATTCATGTAACAATAGTATTGAAAGAGTTTCGGAGATATACCAGAATATAAAACTAGAATTTACAGCTGATTTCAAAAAGGTCGGGACAATTAACAAATTTTAAAGAACTCGGAAATATTCGGTAAAGCTTGATATATAAAATAAAAATCATACGCTAATTTTGGAGTAATATTCTGAGAATGGTGGTATAATTTCGAATATTTCCGAGTTCTTTAAAATTTGCTAAGTGTCCCGTACATTATGAAATCAGCTGTAATAAAATTTCCCAGTAATTTAATATAAAGCTTATAAATGGAGTAAAAATAGAAATAATAATAAAAGGTCTTTATAAAGCTTATTCTGATACGGTCTTTTTATCCCGTGAATGAAATCTCGACACCACAGGGGCACTAAATCCTGACATTTCTGACGGTCAAGAATCCCGACGGTTAAGGAGAAAATGATTGAATTATGATCTGTTTGGATTTTGGATTTTTGTGTCGTAGATTGTCAAGATAATGGATTTTAGGATTACTTTCCACATCAATATGATTACGTAACAAAATCAGTTCAAATATTTTCAAATAAATAGTAATTGTCTAAAATATCATGTGCATTATATTATATCTGAATCTTATACTGTAATTCCTAATTTCAACTAGAGGTAAGTTCATTGAATTCATGAAAAGTTGTATTTTCATATTTTGAAATAGAGCAAATAATGAAAATAATAGCAGTAAAATATCATACATACTTTTATTATTCAGCTAAATAAATTCATGTAACAATAAACACATTGATTATACGGTATATAGTATTAAAATAAAAAATTGAAAGTTCCGGAGATATACCAGAATATAAACTAAAATTAATAAAATTTCCCAATAAATCTAATGTATCTTATCCAAAAAAATTTTCGAAATCTTTCGGAAAATCAAGAATAGATTTTGTACGCTAATATAAAGATTATAAAATGAAGTAAAAATAGAAATAATAAATGAAAATTTGGGAAAGTCTATATAAAGATTATTATCTGGACGAAACAATCGAAACATAGGACAATATCTGGCACGGTCTTTTTATCCCCTGAACCCCATGAATGAGATCCACAATATCGTATCGATGGACCATAATCCCGGCACTAAACCCCGATCATTTCAGATCCCTGCCATACAAAAATACATTAAATTTTTACAAATATTTTGTAATATTTTGTGATAGTAATTTTATTAACGATTCAGATGGCCGAATATAAAACTTTAAGACTCAGAATTTTATACTGCCAGGTTTCTATAATTGTTGGAATTTTGATCTGTCGGCTGTCAGGATTTTTGTGTCGTAGATTGTCAAGATTATGGATGTTAGGATTTTGTGGTAAACTTTTCCACATCAATATGATAACGTAGTAAAATCAACCCAGCAAAAATATACAATCGGATTAATTTATTAATTTACCCGTGATGACATTTATAACTTTATTATATTTATTATAATTATTCTCATTATTTTATTTTAAATGGAAATTTATATGTTCGTGATGTCTATATTGGTCAATGTCATAATTTCAACTCGAGGTTCATTGAAATTCATAAAATTCCCCTTCAGGTAGTATTGTACGTTTTTTTTTAAAAATAGCATGTATAATACTATGTAAATATAAATATATTGGAAAAGTTTCTACAAACTTGGGAATATAAAGATGAACTATCAAAAATTTTGAAATAAGTCATTTATTTAATAATTCATATATACATACTTTTTATTTTCCAATTAAGCCAAATAAGTTCTTGCATATTTTCATAGACTGAATGATATTTATATTACATATTAACACATTGATTATATATAATATCGATATAAATAATACCTATTTTAAATCACTTAAAATAAAATGATGTAAATGAAAATTTATAGAAAGTCTTATTATCCGGAGCGAAGCGAGGACTATCTCCAGTCATACATAAATTTGCATTATCCCCTGAGTTATTTCTGGATCACGCTAAACATAAATATATTAAAATTTATGTAATAACACTCTTTATCGAAGATATCTTTCCAAAATAAAACAAGAATTTTTAATCTGTATTGTACATTTTTTGTATTAGAGACGGACTTTACCGATTTCCGTTTTCCTAGTTTATAATGTTAAAATGCAACGTGTCAGAACGATATTGATGTGGCTTATACGGTTACAGGCTCTTCATTGATTGGCGCTACCTATCATGTGATTTAAAAATAAAATTGCTACAAATTTAATATTTTTAAATATTTATTTTTGGATAATTTAGCATTTACTAAAAGCAAATAAAAGATTAAACTCATCTTGAAAATAAATATCATTAAAATCAAATAAGAATAATAAAATGAAACTGAAAGACAAAACCAAAATCTCAAGAATAATAAATTAAAAATCTAAAAAATAAATGGAAAAATAAGATAAAAACCAAAAATGAATGAAACTAGTAACTTTTAAAAACAGAATAAAAAATCAAATTCAAAGTCCAAAAAAATCAAATAAAACTAATTTTAAAAATAAAATAAAATTCAAAGTAAAATGAAAATCAAAAACAAATAAAGACCCAAAAATAGGATTGATTAATTAAAGAATAAAAATTCAAAAAAATCTGAAATATTTAAAATACCTGAAATTTACTATTTATTAAATAAAAATCAAACTAAAAGTTAAAAAATCCATTAAAAAAGAAATAGTTATTAAAAAATAAAAAAAAAAGCAAATAAAAGAAAAAAAGTTACTTAATATAATTAATAAAAAAAATTTTATCAAAATTTTCAAAATTAAAAAGAATTATTTACAAAAAAAAGAAAGGTTATTTAATATTAATTAATAAAAAATATATATATAATTTACAAAACTGAATTTATATTTAAAAAAAAAAATAATTATTACAAATAAGCTAATTAAATTTTAATTTAATTATATAATTAAAGAAAAAGTATATATAGCAAATATAAATTATGTTTTATTAAAAATAGTATAACAGCTTTTTATAATTATTATATATAATTACAGTATATATAATTGCTTTTTTTAAAGTAAATAATAGAAATATATAAAAGTAATAAACTATATTCTACTCTAATACTATTAATTTATTAAATCACTAATTAAAACTTATATGTATACTATTAGGTAGTTATATTGGATACCACATATAAAACAAGTATTTTTAATGAAATTACCCTATGCTCTATGATAAACTAATATATATAATTACATATAGTATATAAAAAAATTATGTATAATTCATTTTCTTTATAGTGAATTTTTATATAGTGAATAATTTGTTATAATAAAGAAAAGTTTAAGTACAGATTTTTTATATATATAATAAAATAATCTTCAGTATGGTGAATTTCTTATTATAATAAATTTTAATATTCAGTTTATAGGATTCACTATAATAAGAAAGAGTTGTAATATATAATATATTCTTTTACTTTAGTCAAAATTCTTGAATTTTTAACTTTATTAACTTTTTAAAATTGGATTATTCTCTTATAATTATCAGAATTTTTTTAAAATTTGTAATTACTTAAATTATTTTATAAGAATATTGCTAAATATTACTGCTGGTGGTTAAGGTAGGAATGTAGGATTTTAGGCAAAATTAAAAATATTATAAAACTCTGCTTATTAATAGTTGTTAATGTTGGTGTAAATTTAACAATACCTATTTTATAAAAAAAAAAGGGTTAAATTTGAAATAATCCTTAAAATTTTTTTTAATTAATTAATAAAGTAATTTTTTGAATTTTGTGTACAAAAATGTTTTTTTCTAAGCAAACTTATCTAAATTATAGGAAATCAAAGGAAATTCTAATGATTACTTCAAATTTAAAACTTTTTTAAAATCATTTTTTATGATAGTAGAATTTTGAAAAGTGCAATTATAGTTTATACACTCTTTTAATTTAAGACATATAATAAAACTAACAAAAAAATTATTGGTTATTTATGAGGAACTTAGTTTTTTTTTGGTTAGTGAAATCTATGACCTAACTCCTTTAACCGCAGGCTAAAATTCATGTGACCGTAATTTGTTAAATTCGCATGTGATTTTATGATTTTATATACTTACGATTCGTATCATACGTAGAAACAAATAAAATAAAATAAAATCATACGTATAAACGTACTATTTTAAAATCATACTACTAACATATGTTTTACTTTAATAATTTACGATGGTTTCTTTTAATTTTATAAAATATTCAAGATTATTACAATCATTACCTATAATTTTAACCCTTCTAAGTTGATGAAATTTGGTTTTAATTAAAGGTAAAACCATAAAAGAATTTAAATTTAAACAATAATAAATTTCCAACACTTGTAATTTTTTACATAACGTAATTGAATTCCATTGACAACATCCTGAAAAATTTACCTTATAAAATTTAATTCTACGTAATGATTTAGATTGTGATAAGATTGATTGTATAATAAGTGTTGAATGATCAGATAAATTTGTTATTTCTAATGATACTAAATTATTTTGTGATTCTATTATGTGATCAATATTTTTTGCCGTTGAAAAATTTTCTATACAAAGATCTCGCTATGATAAAAATAAAAGAAATATATGAAAAAATAAATAAATAATATATATATATATATATATACACAATACATATAAACCACTTACCACATTCGTACATAATTTGGATAATAAGATCATACCACTACTATTTTCATATGTTCCAGTAATAGTTAATTGTTGAACCGGTAAGATAAATTTACAGATTTCTGAACATTCATCATATTTATTTTTATCATTCAAATTATTCAAATTATTCATACCATCACCAATTAATCCCATCAAATTATATAATTTAAATCTATTAAGTTGACCAGATTTCTTATAAAATAATTTTAATAGAGAATTCATTAATAAATAAGAGGAATCATTTTGTCTTTTTTTTAAATTATTCTGACACCAATTTTCGACTGAAAAATAAAAATTTTGTTGATGTAAATGTTTAAAATATGATGGATAATCGAATAAATAATTTTTTGAGATATAATGAGATGGTAAATAATTTATTCCTCGAGATAAAAGAAATTTTTGTTCTTTTTCATCTAAAAATGATAAATAAATATTTACAACCATTTGTCCATTATTTAAACATGGATGAAATGGTTGTCTCCATAAAGTTATGATAGCATTTCGACACCAATGTCTATTAACTAATATGCATGAATATAAATTTGAATAAGCGTGTAAATCGTATGTTCCATTATATGGAAATGTATCCGCCAAATGATTAAAAATTTCTTGCAGGATTTCTGATATCATATATGATGCTAATTTATTAGGTACTTTATGAACTTTGGAAGGTACATTTTCCGTGTCAATTTGAATTTTTCGTGAATTGACCTTTTTTTTAAAACTAGACCTTCTAAAAATATGATAATAATAAATATTATGAAAAAATATATATATATTATATATATATTTATGTATAATATATATATTTTTATGTATGAAAAAATATGTAACTTACCTAATTATAAGAGAATTAAAAATTTTTTTTATAAATTTCTTTGTCATATCTGTACGAGATAAAGTTTTTTACTTGAAAAATCTTTTTTAAATCATTTAAACATTTTATACTACAATAATAACTACGGCAGCGGTATGTTGAAAACTCCGCAAACGCACGTGTGTAACAATTAGGGAGAAGATCCTATGAATCAATTTCTATTAATGTATTAATAGAAAATCCGGTTAAAATTTTAAATCGAGCTTGGGAAAAAATAATAGGTTCTTAGCATTCTCATTATGGAAATGAAAATCAACTAAGCCCAATTATATATGAAATTTCATATTTGTTATCACTAGTAAATTAAATAATAATTTTATATAACAATGAAACAAAAACTTTAAATACAAAACTCTGAAACTCCAAAATGTGTACTAATTATACTGTATATTCATTGTTTATATATATTTATTAAGTAAAATGTAATCTTTTTCTGCATTAAAACATCATGTTTCTAATAGTATTTATTAATTTATAATATGCGACTAATAAATTAATGTTTTGCTAAAAAAAAAATTACTACAAAATACGAAGAATATGGAAAGCTTATATTATTAGTGTCAAATGTGATTGGATGACCGGTTTATATTTATATCTATTTTGAATCCCGATCTTTTTACTATTTATTATCTAATTTACAAAATTAAATCATTATTGGCTTTAAGTAAATTGATTACATACTACAAATAAATAATGGTTGACTTTCAATATCAATGTATGTACAGTACAATATCATACTTTATTAATTCAAATTATGGATTTCTTTTTTTAAAAAAAACATATACGTCGCAAGTTGTAATAATATTTACTTTATTCTATGTGCGATAACATTAAAATATTTTTAGAAGAATAAGAACGATGACTTGGCAATATGTCTTTGTAAATTGTGATCAATGAATTTAACTTTAACGACAACGATGTCGGAAACAACCTATAGATTTACCTAAAACATCATAGACATAGTATTGGGATTAACCGAATAAGGATTAATTATACGGACACATCTGTTTTTGCATATCAAAAGAATGCTGCCTTTTGCAATTCTTTATTAATACTTGTGTAATGCTATTAGTGAGAATATTTTAATTAAAGCACGAAAAATAAATATTTACACTTTGGGCATTTGTAATGCGTGTTACGACTGCGAAATTAAATAGTTATGCTAATGTAATCAGAATTGGCTCACTTGGATTGATATTGTCGCCCATTCAATAACTAAACATTTAGACATCAAAGTCATTGGGTAAAAAGTAAACTCAATTTAAAAATTGTTTCATTAACTCTCAGTTTCTCTCAATAGATAAAATGTAATTCTTTGTTTGTTATCTCTAAATTCTGTACTCTAAACCGTTAAGGATGTTGTTAATTATAATTCAGTTCTCCTTATGTGAATTTACAGGATAACATCCATAAATTGTCTGCATTTTACTGCGATGCGAACAAGGTTTGTGATTAAAAAGATGCATGGAGAAGCCCTAGAATGAAACAATAAAATAAAATTTTCCTAATTATTTAACATCCTTAATAATATTTATATGACCAGAGAACGGTTTCAGAAACTGCTGTTGTCGAGCAGAAGATCTTATATTTCAATAGTGCAAGCTTTCATTTGTCACACGTTCTGTCTCCATTTTAACATTTACGATCGATTCTTAAGGATAGTCTAGAACAAAGAATTAAAGTTATGTTATAAATATGGAATACAATTCCTTATCACAATCAGGGTAGAACTTTTTTAAAAAACAAGAAAAGTAAACAATAACTTTCCAAACGACATATATATTGTACATTTTATGTTCTTCGTTATAATGTCACACACGTTAAAAGAATATTTGAAAAAAGTCAATTCATAGAGCTAGCATTTTGGATTGGTTAAATGAAATTCTTTATAAGCAGTTTTTAGCCAATAAAGTGATTTATATATTGAATAATAATGAATAATCTAAAAATAGAAAATCAAATACTCCTAAATGAAAAAATAATAATTTAATTTGATATTTTCATATGTTCAAATTCAATCTTCGATTACTTTTAAGCTTTATTTTATTTAAACTCTTGAATTTGATTATTTAGGCTCAGACCAATAAAATGGTTCATTGAAGCAATAAATATTAACACAATGTTATAGCATAACGAAAGTAAATTATATTTAAGTACTTAGTCTTCTTTACTTTCTTTAAACAAAAAATTTTTTTTTTTTTTTTTTTTTTTATCAAAATGAATAACATTCTTAACACTTTGGCAGTGGGATTTTGCATTTTGGCGATATTTTACATAGTTAATAAGCTTCGTAATCGTAAATTGGTGGTATGTACGATAAATAAAGTCGGTATTTATTATTTGATTAATACATTATATTTGTGACTTACAATCTATAAATTAAATGTCATTCATAAGAATGAACCACCTTTGGTATATTACAAGTATCCAATAATTGGGCATACTTGGGATTATTGTGCTGACGTCGATAAATTTTTATTGAAATGTAAACAAGAAGTATGAGTATGAACATGTTATAGATAATTATCGTAAGATCTTTTTTTTTTTTTGATTTTAAAGGATGTTTTTTTTTCAATTAAATAAATAGTATGGTGAAATTTTTTCGATATACGTATATGGATCTGTTATAACGGTCGTTGGTAAAGAATTATGTTATGAAGTTTTCAATTCAAGAGATGTTTCATTCAGCGCTGCATTTGAAGAAGTAGTGTATCGTTGTTTTATCTAATAAAATGCTTTTTTTAAAAAACAAATTAACGTCAAATGGTTTAAACCCAATTCTAGAAAGTTCCAGTTGCAAGAATTCTTGGACTGCCACTTGATTATATGAGTTTCGCAGCAGAAATTTCTAAAAATGTTTTCACTGCTCAAATGCATTTGTTTCTCGAAAAAACTCAACAATCACTGTATAGTGGAGTTAATGAAATAATTGGAGAATGTGATGGTAAAAAAAATAAATACTAAACCTTTTTTCTAATAAGAATATATTTGTAATATTTGTTTATTTATTTATTTATTTATTACTTTCTCTCATTAATAAGAACCCAAAATTATTCATGATTTACGTCAAGTTTTATTTTCGATAGTTTCAAGGCCGGTCACAACCATTCTCGTTGGAGATAGTTTATGTCATGATAATGATTTAATTAATATATTTATGAATTTTAGTAATGAATTATATAAATTATTAAAAGTTCCCGAATCTTTAGGATTGATTCATCCATGGATTTTCCAACAGAGTCTTATGTATGTATGTTGATAGCATTTATTAATTTATTGAAATTCCTTTTCTTCATTTACTGATATATGATTTAATAGAATGAGATTTAGATTTGGAAGGTGTAAAATAAAGAAACTTCAAGAAATTGTAATTGAAAAAATCAAGCCGGAGATCGAAGAACGTCTTAGACAGGAACGAAAGTTTGGAAATAACTGGAAACCTCCAGTAAGTAATACTTGTTGAAATAAATTTGTTTATCCCAGATGATTATTAACTAAATGATGTATTATTTTAACTTATATAACAGGTTGATTGTATTCAATACTTGTTGAGTCAACCTGGCGTAGATAAAGAAAATCCAGATTATGTTTGGATATCCGGATACTTACTTGCAATCACGTTCGCTTCAATGTCAACAACGGTTTCTTCTACTACAAATTTTTTATTAGATTTTGCTTCGAGACCAGAATATTGGGATGACTTGTTAGAAGAGCAAGAAAAATTCAACCCAAATGATAAATTAACTGATTTAGATCAAATTTCTAAAATGGAAAAATTGGATAGTTTTCTCAAGGAAGCTTTAAGATTAACTGGAAATGTTTGTAAGTAAATAAAAATTGTTTATTTTAATATTGTTTTAATATATACACATGTAAGTGTACATATTTTATTTATTTATAATATTTTAATTTTATATATAGTTAGTTTAATTCATAGAGTAACTGGATCAGAACTCAAATTTTCTAATGGATATCAACTTCCAAGAGGTAGTAACGTTGGAATTTATTTAAAAAACGTACATTATGATGATGAAAGATACGGACCAGATCCAAATAAATTTGACGGATATAGATATTTAGGAAAAGAATCTCCAACATCGAAAGTTTCTAGAGACTTTCTTCACTTTGGTATGGGACGACATGCTTGTCCTGGAAGAATTTTTGCTATTAATGAGATAAAAATGCTTAGTAGTATTCTTATTAAGAAATATAAAATTACTACAAAAAGTAAGAAAAGGCCTTCTAATTTTATAATTAGTGGTGTTTCTTTCCCTAATCCTGAACCATTGATCTTTGAAAAAAGAGTGAAAGCATAAATTATAATTTTTACAATTAAAAATTAAATATTATGTCATTTCTTTTATTATTAATTTTATGTAATTTATTTATTATTGAATTTTTTTATTCACACGCTTTATTTACCCTTATTCGGATAAGTGATAATAAAAATTTTTACTCTTACTTAATCATAACATCATATCACGTGAAAGTAAAATTCTTGTATGCTGGAGGCCTGGAGCCTGGAGTGCTGGTTACTGGCTATACTGTATTACCTTAGATAATTGAGCGTCACATGAAGAATAAAAAACGCGTCTTACTACCAAATTTAGACACAGAAAACATTGAAATATGATAGGAGCATTAATTATAAAAATACGACTACACGTTATTATTTAAACAATTTGTTATCTCCTTTACTCTTTTTCCCCTCAGTCCCTCACCTTCTCACCTTCTAATCACAAACAATGGAGGAAATAAAAATTGATTTAGCTGTTTTAAAATTTCTCTTCAATATACTAAGAAAACAAGTTTTATTAGAAAAAGAAATACCCAAAGATATATTCTTTCAAGCGCAAGAATATATTTCGTCACATAATGATACATTAAAACATACAAATATCTATAAATCTTATATTAAACACCAATCTTCTTGGAGACAAAACCCACAAATTATTAAATCTATTCAATTAACAACAAATGAAAAAGAAAAATGTATATTTTTATATAAATTATTTATTACATCTACGCGTTCATTTCATCCAAAATTATTTTATGAATTTTCTAATATTAATGAATACCAAAGAAGTAAATGGTTGAACTCAAAATATAAAATACCATGTAATGAATGGAAAATTAAAAATGGTATTCTAGAAAATTTGAATAAATGTTTACCAGGATTTAAATTTTTAGTTGAATATGATGTTAATAATATTGGACAAATTGATGATGAACAATTAGATGATGATAAATATGAATTATTTGATGAAAAAGTCGACTTAAGTTACGGTGGTATGGTCTTTGTTTCTGAGGTGGGTGTTATGATTGTGATTGATCTTAAATATCCAAGGTATAAGACTGGATCATTCTTAGAGGAAAAAAGAAGTGTAACGCAAATGGAATATTATAGAAGATATAAATGTTTAAATGAACAAGTAATAAGTCAGAAAAGAATTGAGAAATTAAAGAAAATCGTTGAAGAAAAATTTGAAGAGAAATGTATTATGGTGATTGGAGCAAAATTTATTGATGAATCTCAACTGGAATTTTATGATGAATTCGATAAATTGATTGCAGGAAAAATTAAAGAATTAGCTAATATTACTGATATTGAATCAATCATCAAGCCAGTAATTAATACAGAAGGTAAGATATTAATACAGTACATTATTTTTTTTTTTGAGGCAAATGAATTTCTTAATTAAGGCACATAATTTTTTTTTTATTTCTTACAATTTTTATAGAAAATGGAACTTGCGAAACAATTGCAGGTTACCTCATAATATTAATCGGATTTATCATATATATGATAATTTTTGTATACAGTTTAAAATGGGACCTTGAAACGAAAGAATGGGATTTTATTGATGTACAAGATGACGATGATGTTATCGTAGAAATTCTTTTAGCTTTATTTCAATTAATTTTTTGTGGTAATTATACTTGTTAATGCTGATTAATTAAATTTATTAATTATTAAGAATTAAAAATTAAAAGTTTATGATATGTAAAAGGATAACAAATAAAGTTTTATATTAAAAAAGATAGGAGCGAAAATAAAAAGCGTTCCATTATCCCAATTAAATTATAATTAGTCGTGATTATTAACTACTACTTTGTACAGAAAAAACTTCCCAATCTTCCCAATAGAATGTATCCGATTTCATAATAGAAGATTGATAACATTTTTTAATGGTATAACCAATAGGATTGCTAGGTTTAGTATTAACCCAAAGATCGGGGCCAGTACCAAAACAAATTCCATCCCAAGGATGATCATAAATGGAATAGTTTTTATATTCTGTTTTGACTTTAGATAATTTAACATTATTATCTAAAGTGGTTGGGTTAATAAAAGAATCCATAGAGAAAATAAAACACTCTTTTGAACCTCTAGAGGAATTAAACCAAGATCTTTTCCAAGAAATATCAAGAGAGTTATAACCACCAACCAAACAATTATTATCTCGAATTTTAACTATAACTATAGTTGGTCCAACATTATCACATTTTTCATGAAATAAACTAGGATTATCAACTGAAGCTCTATATAATAACTTAAATGTATATGGAATTGATTTTGATGAATGTAATTCATGACTATCATTTATCCAACTTGCTATTACTGCTGCTTGTTTTGGGTTCAATAACTTGGAATCAATTTGTATATTACATTTTCTTGGTGGTAGTATATTATAATTTGAAGGATCTGTGAATTGATAATTTATAATATCTTTTAATAATTCTTTTGATATTATTTTAGAATATGGTTTTATTTTTGTATAAAATTCATCTGGTGAAATATGAAAGAATCTAATTAATGGAATACAATTTTTTAACGTTTTTTTCAATGCATCGAAATCTTCCGAAGTCCATTCATAATCGTTGTAATCTCTTGATATTAGATTATTATTGTTGCTAATTATATTTTTATTATAACTTAAAGATGGGGTGTTTGTTATACCCCATTTCAAAACACAATCCCATAATTCAGGTTCACTCATTCCAAGATCGTCACGTTCCAATAAAGCTACTAAAGAACTTTCATCCATATTTAAAAAAGTTTCAGATTCAAAAATTGAAGGATTTAATAATGTAATTTCTTCAAGACAAAAATTTTTTAATATAGTAAATGTAGTCCTTGAAGTTGTAATATTAAGGATTTCAATTAAATTATCATCTATCCATCTTAATTTGTTCTGTATTAAATATGTTTGAACATAATCTAATAATTCATCAATCATCAATTCATCTGCTGCACATAATAAATCTAATATATTTGAAAGTTCTTTATCTTCTAATTCAATCGTTCCATTATATATATACCTTTAGAAAAAAAAAAATCAAATATATAAGTTAAAAAAGTATAACGTCGTAAGAACGTTTATAAATTGCTTACCGTAGAATAGCATCAAATATATCAGGAGAAATATTGGGTTTCTCAAATTTAATGATATTTTCTTGATTTCTTGCCCAATCACTTGAAAGAGCTGTATAAAAGTACTGTGACCTAGCTCTTAATATTAAAGAATGAGCTTTAAATTCATGATGATTTGGTGTAACTCCTACTTTAATTATTACATCGTGTCTATCATTAAAATCCACTAATTTACCAATATCTTTCGATAATTTTGTCAATAAAGATTCTGTGGACATTTTTTTGGATAATAAATTTTTAAAAAGAGAATTATTGAAAAAAACCACTGAAAACTATTCATTAATATTTATACTTTTAACCAAAATAAATGATATTTAAGGAGTTTCGTCACATGTTCCTAATTTATCAAATGATAACCAAAAAAGTTTAATTCGTGGTAAAATTTATTATATTTGATGTCACAATTATCAATGACATTTTTTTTTCTGATCTGACATTCGGGATATCATTTAAAGTTTATTTCTGCATGTTCGGTCAATATTTGCCTAAAGACGGGTGTAACCTCCTAAATGGTGTTGATCTTTTAACAATTAGGTTATTTGTAATACAAAAGAAACATACGTTTCAAATACATAGGCGTATGATTATTTAACATTCAATGATTCCGAAAATTAGACACATGTCGTAGATCTAAGATGAATATGAATATACACACACCATAAGGAAAATGGAGTATTCCTAATTTCTATAATATGATTCACGTATACGTCATACTAACAAATTAATAATATTCCCCGTTTTTTTTCATGAGTATGATATTAAATTTATTTCATTTTAAAATATCTGGTACGTTATTGTAAATAATTAAATTAATTAAACCTCATTTAAAATATAACAATATAATAGGATTACAAATCAAAATTTCATTCTATATTTAAAAATAAAACCCATGTGATCTATTTATCGGAAACCCTATCGATTTACTCCGATCGATTAACGTGATAGGGAGTTAACCGTAAACGAGTAATAATAATATGTAATAGTTTTTCATGATTGGTTGTCATTTTGTTTCAAATTCTTAGCAGGTCTGCAGCCAAAAACTTTGTTGCTTTACGATTATATTACCAAATCTGTGTTATTATTTAATTTATTTAATTTATCTAATTTAATTTTAGTGTGAGCTTTTTGATTAATATGTTCTTTACTTCTCAAAAAAAAAAAGAAAGAAAGAATTTTCCCTAGAAATTACGCATTTAGAAGGGGGTCTCTTCATTTTTTCACATCTATATATAGTAATTATCATCAATCTTTGCATACTATGGTAGATCGGTATATCACAAGGAGTCAAGGGGGGACTGGGGCCTGGGGGTATATAATAAACACGTGATCTCTGGCCCTTCTTGTTTTAAGTTGGCATTATTATGAATTTTCTTAATCCACTCTTCTAGTAATAAAAAAATTTTCTTAATCCATCCTTTTTTCTATTATAATTAATTTTTATTTCTTCTTCTTTCAAAGTAATAAAGTAACTTCAAAATTTTTAATGCATTGATTATACAATCAACTTTCTCTAAGTGCACCCTCTTTGGGACCATAATGAAAAATGTGCATTTAAAGAGGGTGTGCATTTAGAGAGAGTACATGTAGAGAGAGTTTACTGTATTATTTCTGAGACGATATAATAAAATATTTTGCTAATGCGGCCTCAGGAGCTGTGCTTGTAACGGCCACAGATCCCGTTGTGGAGAGATCGTCGTTTGGGTACAGTATCTGTCTATGAAACACAAAAACAGCATAACAGATAACAGATAATGGTCTGACCGCGCAGCAGTGATGACTTATGGAAATTCGGACAATTGGAATATTTGAACTATTATTATATTTTATTCAGTCCAAACCCTAACTTTATTAGATTATTGGATTCCAATCGCCACTTTTTAATTATAATTATAAAGAATATTCAAAAAAAAAAAAAAAAATTTACCTAATTTATTAATAAGAATTCAATTTGGACTATCTACAATTAGTTCAACTGAATTCCAATAATCAAAATCTGCCGAAATCAATTAATAATCTTTTAATTACCGAGCCATGATATACTATAATTATCGTGCAGTAATAATCAACTGTAATACAATGTTTGTTTGCCACGCGTTGCCATGTTTAAAGAAATTATGCCAAAATTGGTTAGAACAAAAGATCGATCCTTTTTCAAGAAAATATAGAAACGCTTTCATTGAAAAGTTTTAAGTAAAATTTACAAGTTAAAAATTTATACATAATTTTTGATCCGAATGTTTGTGAAAGCAAACATTGTTTTGAATAATTGAACACATTACATGTAAATTGAGCATCTTCGAAATATGAATGGTGCTTCATTAAAATAAATTAAACTTTGTGAAACATGTCTAATTGTTATAAACTCCTAGAAGTTGCCTGATCAGTAATTGATCGACAATGGAATAAATTTACCAGTTACAAACATTTCCACGGTAATATATTCAAAAATTAATGCTAATAATGCATCTAATTTTGTCGATTATTTTAACTTTCCGGCTTAGGTTCGCGAATTTGAGTCCCATTATAAAATTTTGTTGTGAGCGTAAATAGTAAAAATTGGTTGGCAAAAAAAGGGTCTTTCCTTCATAGGCAAAAAACCGCTTGTCACAAAATTTTCTTGTGTTACCTTTTATTGTAACACAAGACACAAATTTAAAAATCTTACCATATTTTGTTTATAACTATACTACCAATTAAGCGCTTATCCTCCATTTTTCATCCTTTAACCTTTCCTTCATAATTATAATTACCTTTCAGTAGAAACACTTTTTGACACTCTTTCTTTTTTTAATATTTCAAAGTTAACTTTTCTTTCGTAGTTAATAATAATAAAGTTTATATTTTCAAAAAACCGGAAATAACCAGGATGAACGGAGACACAAAGTTAATTCTGTCTTTAATAAATAGGATTAGTTTAAAGGTACCAATTTTTAAATACTTTAAAAAAAATTCATTTAAATTAATTCAATTTTTTTATATGTAATTCAATTATTTGTTGAATTTTTCATATATTAAACTTATTGTTATTTATTATTTATTATTTACTTATTATTATTATCTTTATTTATTTTATTTATTTTTTTTTTAATAATAGTTACCAGTTCATAGCGGAAAAAAACTGGAAACCCTCGAGTCAGATCCTCTCATATTACAAATTGTTAACTCAATAATTGATTTATCGAGGTTTAAACTTAGTACAATAGCAAATAATTTAACCCACCTTCTAGAAACAATATCTAAGGTACGCCGAATATCTTTTTGTATTGTTGATGAAAAGTTAACCAATTGATTATATATGCATGACAATGATCAAATTTCAATATAATAAACAATAAAATTTATTTAATTAATTTATTTATTTATTGGATCGATACTTAATTAATAGTCTTCAGCGATGATGTTGGAAGAATTTGTACCTTTCGAAGTATTACAGTCTCAATTATTTATCCTAAAAATTTTATCAGCATGTATGACAAGTCACTGGAAATACTATCGAACAATGAAAAGGGAGAGGGAGTTGGAGCAGCAACTACAATCTAACGATGATACTTCATCAATATCAACACTTGTAAATCAAAATCAGCAAAACCAAAATCAGCAAAATCAAAATCAGCAAAATCAAAATTATCAAAATCAAAATTATCAAAATCAACAAGGTCAGTCAAGTCAGTCAAATCATAGTAAGCAATTTAAATTACCCAGATCATGGGATGATCCTCCACCATTAGAAGATTCGCTTGCAAAATACATCTTGAGCGTATTATCTCGGTTTCTACATCAAATGGCGAGTCAGGAAGATAATGCTACTGGCCAACCACCAAATGGAAATCCTGCAGGTCCCGGTTCACCTAATAACTTTCCTGCTACAGCACAAGGATCATCCGCTACATTTGAAATAATAAATGACATTTATAGGAACGCTGGCCGTGTTATATTCTATATTAGTGCTTCTAATTGGAATGTTGTTTTTTCAAGAATAAGGAATCGCATTGGCTATTTGACATCTACAAATGATGAGTGGCCAGAAACGTCAGAACTGAAGCTGTTAGAATGTTCAGATTTAAACTCTAAACGGTTGTCAATGGTTCTTCAAGGTTTTATAACAATTTTATTTGTTAATTTTCAAAGATTTTAAGACTCTTTATGTAACTCGCGTTATACTTTTAAGGTCTTGAATATTAAATATTTTTTTTTAAAAAAAATTTTATAGAACTATGTAGTTCTTTTTTACATCTTAAACGGTCAGCACAAACAATGATGGCGAATGTTTTACGTAAAGCTATATGGAATTGGATAGAAGTCTTTCCTGCGGAATTTGTGACTTTATGTCAAGAACAAAAACGATTAGAAGGAGGAGCTGAAATATTATTTGATTATTGCAGTTCTTTAGCCGAAAGTAACCCTAAGAAGAAGTCCGTTTTTTGGCCATTACAGACTATGTTGTTAATTTTGTGCCCTGATATATTGTTTAATGCGTCAATGTCAGATGTATCGAATTCAATGTCCAAAAAGGTAAAAAAAATATGATTTACTATTTAACGAATATTATTTATTAATATTTGCACCACTAAGAATTGTTTCACCAATATTTTTAGGTTGCATTTCTTGACTCATTAAAACAGTCACTGAGAAGGTCAAAATTAGCTGAAGTTGCCGCAGTATGTTATGTCGATATTTGTAAAGCATCGACTTACGTAGCAAAGAGTGATTCTTCAGCTTTACTTCAAATTGTACCTGATATTGAAAATGATCTTAAAGTAAGATTTTTGAATCTTATTTGAAAACATGCTTTTCTTGATTATCTATACTTACTTTTATATTTATAATAATAGGCAAAATTGTTCGATCCTAATAAACCGTTTATGACTGAATCACAAATTGATCAAAAACTTATGACAGATTGTTTAACGGCCTTATTCAGATTAAATCAAGATACATTGGAATCATTAATTCCAATTTGTCTGAGCGAAAATGCACCTAATGCTTTCAAATTAGTATTGGTTAAAAGTTGTTATGCGATAGCTTCAGAAGTAAGAGCCAAATTTAAGTTGATATTTAATTGAAAAAAAATTTTTTTATTAGATTCAAATGTATTTTTTTTTTAATTTGTAGGAAAATCGATTTCCTTGGAATCCTAGTTTATCATCTGTATATTCGGTTCTTGCCGTGCCACTTCGGCAATTGTTACATCAATACATTAACTCTAAGGATAAATCTAATGACTCTAGGAAAAGAAGATACAAACCGGATGAATTAAACGAAAAAACGGAAATTATTCTAAATATTATCAAGCTTTATAAATCTGATCCTATGCTTGCGCTTGCTGTAAGTTTATATTAAATTATTTTTCCTATTAACAAGTTTATTTATTTTTCTCATATTTTCTTAATTACAACACACAGTATTATGATCCTAATCAATGCCCAGAAGAAATTCGACAAGTTATTTGTGGCATAGCATTATGTGTAAATGATAATGCAATTAGATCTATTGCGGCTGATACTTTGTTGGAACTTCATAATTTAGAATATATTGAAAGATGGGGTCCTGAAGATAAGATAATGTATAGCTTTTGGTCAATAAGGTGTGTTGATATGAAATAATCAATATTATGTATTACTCTTATTAAATCTTAAATTTTTTATTGTTAGTTCTCAAGTGATGTTAGCTATTGCAAGACAAATTCTTGATTATAAAGAACGTGAAGAAAGTACGAAACATTTGCTTGATCTTTTACTTCAATTATTTATTCGTCGCAATCAATTCTTGAAAAAACACAAGGTAAAATTGCTTTTGTGATTTTTTTTTTATTTAAAAGAATTTTTTTTTTTAAAAAAAAGTTTATTCCTTACATTAATAGGAAGAATCAACAGTTGGAATTAATGCACCTGAACGTTTTAGCTGCAATGTGGTTCTTGAAATCGCTTTACTGGTTTTATTATGCTCTCCCGATCCAGATATTTGTTCAATGTCATTAAACTGTTTTGGACATTTTTGTCAAGAGGCTCAGTTTACCACAGAACTTGTACCTGATGAGATGGATGTTCAGACTGCTCCCCCAATTGTCGAAAATATGGAAATCTATTTAGAGTTGTCAGCTTCGCCTTATGTAGTTTTAGGTAAGATAATATAAAATCATTTCTCTTTCTCTTTTTTTTTTTTAAAAAAAAATATATATATATATATATATAATTTTATTACAGGTCGTATGGCACAACAAAAGCGTATTCGCAAATTATTGCGATTAATGAAAGTGGCAACGCCTGGTAATCTCGCTTCATGGGAAGAAGCATATAAACGTTGGAAGAACCTTACTCAATTAATTGCTCGACCTGCTGATGAGCAAGCGATAGAATCTAACAAGATAAAAGGAATGCCGTGGAATAATCCGGGTAAAGTTGGTAATAATGTTGTGATTGTTCCGGAGGTAATATAAATTTATATAAAAAAATATTTTTGTTCAATGATTGTTATAATTAAAATTTTTTTCTATTTAAGGCACAAAATACCGAATGGCTTAATTATACTGGCTTTTTATCATCATTGGGGGGAGTTTGTGTCAATGAACGTCCAAATGAATCTTTAGTAAATGATTCAGACAATAGGAATAATATACCTCAGGGGTCAAATTACCATTTAATGGTAGAAAAATATGTACATGAAATGGTGGATTTGTTAGTATGTGATTCAGCATATGTTCGGGAAAGTGTTAGAGAAACTCTTGGAAATGAATTGAATACAAGACTATACGTTATTTTATTTAAATATCTTGAATCGATAGTATCACGATTTTTTGATCCAGATGGTGAAGCAACTCCAACCGAAAGATACACACTATTTGTAGAGCAAGCAATCTCCGTTTTAAAACTTATCTTAGAGCGTATTCAAGATGCATCAGAAAATTTGTACACTGTTGACCTCGGGGGTCTTGTTCTCTCTTTTGCCCGTTATCTGAATAGGCTTGGTTCTGGTCAAGTCGCATTACGAATTAAGAAACGAATGTGTCAACTTGCTGAGATATTAATGCATAAAAAAGATTATGTCACTCTTCGACAAGAAATTAAATTGAGAAACAGACTTTTGGAGATTTTTATTGAATGGACTTCAGATTTTACAATGGTACATCCAAATTTCTTACCTTTTTTTTTTTTTTTTTAACAAAAAAACATATGCTTGGTTGTTTCTAATTTTAATTTATATGTATTTAAAAGAAAGCGGATAGTCAAGGAAACAGTGAAACATCATCAAATAAAAGTGAAAANCTTGGTTGTTTCTAATTTTAATTTATATGTATTTAAAAGAAAGCGGATAGTCAAGGAAACAGTGAAACATCATCAAATAAAAGTGAAAAATTGCATCGTGATTTGGATCAAACTTGTTTAAAAACAGTAGTTGCTCTTCTTCATCAATTACCATTACAGCCCTCTGATGCTGTACATGAATCGGATCTAAGTGGAGTTAAATCACGTTTATTTTATAAATATTTTTCATTTTTCATCAAATTACTGAACCGATGTCGTATTCTCGAGGTGGAAAATTTTTGCATTTAAATAATAATATTATTATTGTTCATAAAAGACACTTTTAATTAATATTATTTTTATTATATATTAGGCTATTGATAGCGGTACTCATTCTGCGAAAAATAATCAAGATTTGCAAATGTTATTGTCAAAGGTAAATTAAATCGTTTTCTTTAATTTTATTTCTTAACTCATCAGTAATTTTGTTTATTATTTAATGTAGTCTAAAGAGTACGTCAAGGATTTGGGTCCCTTGAAAGATTACACGATTTTAGCATTGAGTAATTTACTCAGCGCAAATGTTGATTCCGGTTTAAAATATTCATTGTCCATGGGATATCATGAAGACACCAAGACAAGAACGGCATTTATGCAGGTTCTTACAAATATCTTGAATCAAGGAACCGAATTTGAGGGTCTCGCAGAAAATGCAATGAAAGATCGTTATGAAAAACTTGTTGAGGTATTTGATGATGAGTGTTAAATTAAATAAGAATTCTTAATATTATTTCTCCATATTTATTATCGTATATATTATTTATTATTCAGTTGGTCACCGAGTCTGATCTCAATATTGCATTATCATTATGTGAAGTCTGTCCAGTTTCTGATATCGATATAGTCTCTAAAACTCTTTTAGCAGTTTTTGACTCTCGAAATAAAACAATGCCCTTATTAAAAGCGATTGTCGAAAAAGAAGTTATTAACACAGGTATAAATTATATTTCACTTGATTTTTATTTATATATTGAATTGTTTTTATTAACTACAAGGCATTTCGCATTATAATAGAATATGAGTCTGATTTATTCCGACGTAATTGTATGGCAACTCGTATGTTGGCTTCCTTTGCAAAAACACATGGGACAGAATATTTACGTGAAACTTTACAACCTTTGTTAAATGATCTTCTATCTAAGCCAAGTGATTTCAGTTGTGAACTTAATCCTGACAATCTTCTTCCCGGTGAAGATGTAAATAAAAATTTACAAAATTTGAAGGCCACAGCTCAAGCATTCTTGGATACTATCTGTGCTTCTGGTCCAAATATGCCAAGGTATAATATGACTTAAATGCGCATTTTATTTTATTTGGTTTATTTATGTTACTTTTTTGATCAACAATTGAACTTATCTTTTTTTTAAAAAAAAAAGAACATTCCGAGAAGTATGTCATTACATTGGTAGTGCCGTCGAAGAAAAATACAAGCGAGCAAAATGCGTTACAGTTGGAGCATTTGTTTTCCTGCGTTTCTTCAATCCAGCTATAGTGTCACCAGATAGTGATAATATATGCAAGCCTATTGAAAATGTTAAAATCCGAAGAGCATTGTTATTAATAACCAAGGTTATTCAAAACCTCGCAAATAATGTTCTTTTCGGTGCAAAGGAACCTTTTATGATTGTTTTAAATGATTTTTTAAATAACAATATTGTTAAAGTGACAACTTTCCTGGAAGAAATCTCCGTAAGTATTGTAATCGTTTTGATCTGCTTTATAAAAAGGAAAGATAAAAAGACAATTAACTCTTTAATTTATTTTTAAATCAGAAATTGCCTTACGTACCTCCATTTGCAGATGTACAATCGGGAGATAATAATATCGTACGTAGATTAGAAGATTCCGAACGAAAAAATCTTCATAGACATCTTGTTGAATATCAAGAGAAGATGGCAAAAGATCTTCAGACACGAAGAGTTAAATCAATAAACCCAGCTGCACCCGCTAATGTTATGCTTGATCAGGCTCAAGCAAGTAAAAAGGCTTGGGATACAATTTCTAAACTTCTTGCACAACTTGGTCCACCTACAGAAAGTCAAAAGAAAGAATTCCTGAATATTAGGAATAATCATTTTGAAACAAATCACCAACTCTTTAAAGAATTTATGACTCGAAATAAATTTCGTAATCTTGAATCTATAGTATCCAAAGGAGTGTTTTATGAGGGCGGATTTTCAAAGGTTAATATTAAGCATAATTAAATATAAGCATAACAATTATTTTTTATATTCATTATTTTGGTTTTGGTCTTAAATTTAACAATTTACACAAATTATAGGAAAGACGTCGTGTCTTTTATTTAATATTACGAAGACTTGACGCAGAAGCTACAGATATGGAACTCTTGATGTATCATGTTCTTAATGTAAGTATTTGATTTAGTTCTAATTAATAATGTTATTTGCCTTTAATGTGAATAAAACCTAATTGATTAAATATATTTAAACTATTTAGACAATTGAACCATATATGGGACAACCATATGAACTTTTAGTGGATGTAACGATGTTTGGAGCAGCGAACGAAATACAGTTACAATGGGCTCAACAATTTATGCATATTCTTCCATTTGATGCTATGGAAAACCTTAGTGCACTATATTTTTACAATACGAACACCGCTTTCAAGAAATTCACCAAAAAAATATTATTAGCCCGACTTTTTTCAAGTAAAATTACTAGGAGAACGATATTCTTATGCAACTTGAGTGAATTACATGAACATATTTCTTCACCTGAAGTTCGATTACCGAAGTCGACAAGTATGTATTATGTTCTTTATTATTTAATTTAATACGTAAAACTTTACTCACACCATTTATGATTTAAAATTGGTTTATAGCACAATTAGATACAGATCCAAATGTGGTATTTAATCCAATAACAAGAATTTCACATTATAGAATGCAAGTACCAGTTACAATGAAAATTAGCCACGAGACTATACAGGTTTTGACGGTAAATTACTTATAAATCATATTTTTATATATATACATTTTTTTTTTGTTTCAATTATTAATATAAATTTATTTATGTTTTTAAGACAAAAAGACAAGACTTATTTAATGGATTGAGCAGTCAATTAAATGATGTATTTCATATTTCCGAAATCGAAGACATTGCCCCATCCTCACATAAAAGCGATGATAATGAATTCATCATTAAACAAGATCGGGGTAGACCTCCTTTATCATTTACCAGCCCAAGAAGAGATTCTATTATGCAAGCTATTCGTGCTTCCAAAGCAAGATATCAGATAGCGAAACCAACAAACATAACTGAAAGAGTAATAAGGCCAAGCGATGTTCCAGGAACATTATTAAATATGGCCCTTCTGAATATTGGTAGCGATGATCCTAACTTGAGATTGGCTGCTTACAATTTACTTGTAGCTTTAAGCCTCATATTTAACTTTGATGTGGGTGGCCAGCTATTAGGAGCGAAAGGTTAGTAGTATTATCCAAATTCATTATAATTAATTGTTAAAATATTTATTCTAAACCTGGATAATTTTGTAGGATTATGTATACCAGCAAACAATACATCATTTGTTGTTGGATTGAGCGAAAGGCTTGCGAGTTTAGTTCCTCAACTTACTCCAGATTTCTTGTGCGAATTCTTTGTTGGATTTGACAAATCTAGTACTCCTCTGAAACATTTATGTCTTCAGTATATGGCGCCGTGGTTAAATAATTTGGCACAATTCACTAAGAGTGGAGCAGATGGTCACAAAAACGTTGATAAAACGCGGGAGATTATAAAGAACTTAATTGAACTGACAACGAAAGAAACTGAAGTATGAATTAAATTTCATGTTTTTTTATTAATAATTTAGCAAACACACTTTTTATTAACTTTTTGCTTTTTACTAGATGTATACCGCAGTTCAGTCAAAGATATGGAGTACCTTAGGAAAAGTTGATGAAATTACAAATATAATAATTGATGAATTCGTTCAATATGCTGTTGACCATGGTATAAGTTCACCCCAATCTGAAATAGTCGCAAATACCATTGTGACTTTATCATCGGTTAACATTCGAGGAAAAATAATTGCAAAATTAAGAAAAGTATGCACCTTTTATAATTTTAATTATATCAATTGTTTATTACCTTGGCGCTAATCAATTTTGTTTCTTTCAGGTAATCGCAAGAACATCATTAAAAGCCACTAGAACTCTCACAGATAATCCAGCATGGCCAGAGATTGCCGTTTTGATACGGTTCAATTTAATGTTGTCGTTTAACAGTCGTAATGTACAGCTATATTTGCCAGAATTATTTTATATCATTTCAATACTAGTAGCTACTGGACCTCCACTTATTCGGGCTTCTATCCATGGTCTTATTGTAAATTTGGTGCAATCTCTTTGCACATCAATGCCTTTAAATGAAATTAACGTTAAGAGATTAACATTGTTGTTAACAGAATTATCTGAGCCAAATTTCCGTTACTTTTTTGGCTTGAATAATGTTCCTGGCAACGCATTTGTTATATCATCTGAATCCACACATGATTTGCCGGATACGATGCCACTGGCTTCTTTGGAAAAAATTGTTCAAGCATTGCTAGAAGTTATGGTTTGTGGCGCTGGTTCAGTCGGTAAGTTTTATTAATAAATTCTTAAAAAGTTGATAGTAGTATCTATTCGTCATCTGTTGGGTAACATTATTTTATAGAAAAGTTTATTTATTATTTATTCATTTATTTATTATTCATTATTTTTTTAGATATGTCAAACACATGGAGAGCTAGATGGATGGGGCTTGTTGCAAGTACAGCTTTTCAACATAATCCAGCAGTACAACCAAGGGCATTCGTGACACTTGGTTGTCTTGCACGTGAAGAAGTTGACGATGATTTGTTATACCAAATATTAGTTGCTTTAAGAGGAGCTTTGTCGATGTTTACCGAAAATGATTGTTCACTTATTATTAGTATTGTAATGTGTCTTACGAACATTGTAGAAAACTTACCCGCTGACTGCCGATACCTACAATCGTTGTTCTGGTTAGCGATGGCGCTCGTTCAAATAAGTCATATTCCTGTATTCCCAAGTGCAATTAATTTATTAAATGTAGTACTAAAAGCATTAGATGTCAACGGTTTCTTTGCAGTAGAGGATATTGCAACAGTTCTTTTAAGAGCTCGTGTCCCTCTGGAACCTATAGCAATAAATATGGATAGTGAAGCAGGTATCAATTATGAACATTTCTCATTTGCAGTTTCAGCAACACTATTAAAAGGGTTAAAAAATCCTGTCACAAAAACTGGAACAAAAGACGTTTTGAATGCATTTTTGGATATTGCATCTAAGGGTATTACTAGAGACCAACCCCATAATTTAATAGATTCTAGTATGTTAGGATACTTAGCCGCATTGTTACCAGTCTCGGCTAAAAATGCAGATATGAAAGAATTGCTTTGGGTTTGTGGAATTGTTGATTCCGAAGTTGATAATTCAGAATTAGGAACGACATATTATAAAATTTTTGAAAAACTTGATATACCAGATAATCAAACTGCTTTACTATTGATTTCATTGATGGTTGCTATGTTACAAACTGCGGAACATGAGCCTGAAAGATTATTCTTATACGGTTTCTTGGCGGAAGCTGCTTCAGCTTTACCTGAAGTATTTGCTTTAGTGTATGCTTTTTTTAAAAAATTTTTTCTCATGTTTATATTATTATTTATTTGATATTAATATTTTAACAAAACAAATCTCTAATTATTAACAATAGATATGACTCTTTACTACCAAAGATGACGCAAATAATTAATAACAGTGAAACCATCCCAATCCTTGATTCCGTTCAGTCGATTCTATATACTGTGATTTCTTCCGATCTATCGTCTGGCAGAGGTGTAGTCCGACCAAATCAATTAAATCAAATGCCTTCATATCTTGAGGAGATAGGATTTACAAATTTAATGGATTGTGGATCATTCCTAACTGTTACCAAAGAAAAAATGAAAACAAATGCATCGCTAGCAAGTGAATTGGTGAATAAGATAATAAGTGGATGAATTATTGTAATTCCGGGGAAAAAAATGAGGTTATTAGGTGAATTTGGCGGTTATTTATGAATTATTAAAAAAAAACAATTATCCAAAAAAAAAAATATATATAATTTATTATTAAAAACTAGATTACTTTATTTATTTGTTTCTATTTTTTATTTAATGATTTATTTAATTTTATTTTATTTTATTTATTTTTACATATTAACAACGAATATGTTCAAAGAATTGAACATTAATAAATGTGAATAAAATGTATTTAATATATTAATTAAATAAATGTGAATTGGTAAGATCTCATTCATGTTATACTGTTATTTTTCGATCAAACGTTCATAGACTTCATAAATTCAGAAATTGAAATAAATAATAATATACTTCCCGCAAAAGCATGACAGAGATTTGATGTGAATTATCCGAACTCCTTACGAATGCCAGATTCTAACTATTTTCGCTGATTTGCGAAACGGCGAGTATTCGGGTTAATCATTTCAATACCTAAATTCCGATCAACTTTTATTTTATGATCGGCAAGACAATGGTAAAAGTGATGCCGCGATTGCCGCGCACTTAATAAGCTTAAATCTTGCCATTTTAATTATAACTAATACGTGTTCTTATTTAAATTCTTTTTTCTATACTTTACTACTACTTTACTCACTAAGATTTCAACCAAGTGCATGCCCGAATTGTTTGTTATAGCTGCAACTAGGACAGCTTCACAAAAAAATCCATTTTATTAACAATGGTTGCATGTAATAAACTTATTTACCCGTTTTGGCTAAGTTTGATGTTTTTTTCATTTCCGATAGTTGCATGCTAACTCATAAGTGATTTGTAACGTAATATTATTTTATGCCCATTTCTTTCTAGCCGATTGTATTGGATCAAATTCACTGCCATTTTTGATCAAAAAAGAAAAAAAGAGTCACAAATGCATAATATATTATATGAGAAGATTGGACTCATTGGACTTAGTTTTAACATATCCAGCTTCTATTTCATCAAAAACTCCAATAAAGACTTTGATGGATAAAATCATACTATGGATTAAGAAAGAGGGGAAAAGAGTAGTTAGTTTTGCAAGCGATAGCAGTAATATTATCAATGAAGAAGTTGGCTGTTAGCAATAGTTAGTAATGTGGAGTAATGGAAAGAACTGGCCATCCTTTTACTATGCAAAATATTTCTGGGGGCGGATGCTTTATTCCTCTCTTGAAACACCACTACCCGTTTCATTTTCATTTTACATAGCAATAATACTTTATGAAAAATATATGTATAAAGAATATATAAAGGTTTATTGAATTTTAAATGTATATGCGTCATAAATGTTCAATCCTTGAACCCACTGCAAATTATAAAAAGGTGAGAACTGATCAGTGAATCATTCTTATCCGTCTTGTGTAAAATCCAAGCAAAATATTCAAACTTATCATTATTTACATCATCGTATCGAAAATCAAACAAACGAGTATACTCCACAAAGTAATAGTAGGGTATGTTGACTTGGTTAGCTTCCAGAAGAACATCATCACGATGTTATGGCTCTATAGATATTCAAAGATCATGTTCCGCAGTATATATATGTGGACCAAAATCACGTGACTTTTCGCCGCACTTAATTTCAGTCAAATGCGTTAAATGCCGGCTAATTTCTTGGATTGGAAATTAAGTACAGCGGTATTGTATTGTTTATTTTTACCTCATTATTAATCTCAACTGTAGATTTGATATTATTTAATCACAGGAAAATTCTCATTGGAAAAAATAAAGTTGCACAAATATATTATTTATTCAATGATTTATTACATTTTATGATTTAAAATGAAAAGTTAGACATCCATTGTAGCTTGCAATAAAATTTATGAATAATTGATTCAATTTTCTCAGATAGTTAAAGTTGTAAAAAATTTTTTAATATCCTTTCTTCCTGCGCAATTTGGGGATTCATTTTCCACGGTCTCACTTAAGCCAAAATCAATAAAAAAAGAAATGGCAACTTTTTGGCTCGTATAGAATATTACTCTGAGAAACATCATTATGTAAGACACCGAAATTATGTATTGACTTGAGTTGATTGACTATTAATTTTTTTCCTTTTTAGTGAGTATTGTCGGATCAATTTGATGAGCGCCTTTCAATTAATTGTAATGCTAATGCAAAAAAATTTCCGTCATAAACGTAACCATTATAGAACAAACGTGGAATAGCATGACCTAATATCAATATTGTAATAGTTATTATAAAGGGTTAAGTTTAGACATTTCCTATAAATGGCTTGAATAATCCTCTGATTATTGATATCGCTATGGTCTATATCAATGTTTATTTTATTAAGATTTCCCCTCGTACTTGCAATTATATTTACTAAGAATTTTGCCGGAATAGACCTACTAACTTTCAGAGTTTGTAAAAATGGTAAAGATAAGTGTTCCAAACAATTCCACTCTTCACCATAAAATTTGCCAATTAATCTCAAACTTGTTAAATTAAATAAGTGTTAATATCTAAAAATATTATGAATGAAAAAAAATGTACCTTGGTAAATTATTAATAAAAACGTTTTCGCAACGTTTTTTAATTCTTTTAAAACAGAATAAATATGAGCTTCTTGTTTTAACGTTTTCATCCCTTGCTTCTTATATGTGTCACAAGTCTTCCATGCTACAACTTAATTATCATAATATCTAGAAAAAACTTTTCCAAAGGACCCCCAGCTATGTATTCATCTATAATAGTAATTAGTAATTCCTTTGGACGAACTTGCAATTGTTTTTTTACTACTGGTCTTTGGTGTTCTCTTCCTCTTCCCTGAAGAATCATCATAACCATAATCATCACTAGAATCATCATCAGATGATCCAGAGTAGTCGGGGTCATTAGAATCATTAGAGTCACCATAACTATAGTCATCACATCATCATCATCATCATCATCATTGTCAAACACTACATGTCCCAATCTATTACCGACATTATTATCATTAATGACGAGTTGGCTGATATAATAAATGCATTTGCGTAAAGTTGGATTGGTATCATCAGGTCGAACAACACGAGAAACATATGAGTTGTTTCTTCTCGCTTGAGAAAGTATGTATGTATCACTATAATTTGACAGAATACCATAATGTAAACCATTACAGGCCATTTCACTAAATATGTGCGATGGGTTCCTTTTCTTGAATTTAAAATTTGGATCCGCCGGCCGGCATATCGACAAATTTGCCAGAAAATTATAACCACATAAATTAAGATTGTGGCGCGTTTTCGTTTTCACAGGCATCTTGGGCACTGTGAGATTTGTATATAAAACGAAGTTGGAGCCAAAAAATTCAGGATATGTACTATTAAAATCTGTATAATAATTCTCCAACTGGCCATAAAACATTAATTTGAAAACGTGTTGCTACGTTTGCCTCGGCTCTGAGAAATTGTGCGCTAGTTGGAAATACAGGGAATTGTCCAAGTGGAAGGGGAGTTTGCCTGACACCTCGAAAGAATAAGGTCCATTCCCTCACGTTAGCTGGAAAGCAGATATTGTTGAACTTGAACTAGGTGAATCTTTGTGATAACCATTGGCAAACTGGAACGACGTGACCTAGTAATTGACCCGCGGTTTCAGTCATGATAGAAGACTATTAAAAGTGTTTGGTATTACAGTTATTCCTGAGCATCTTCGCGAATTGGGTCTCATTGAATAAACTCGAATCTCAAATGCTTTTGCTATTTTTTTCGACTATAATTTTTATTCATCTGGAATTACACGAAAAATCGAATAAAAATTTCTGTCACACCACACATATTATGTAGATTTGCGCCACTTCCGCAAATTAAGGTGGCTTAGTTGTAAAACAATTTGAATTATTTTTTTATAAAGAATGATAGTTTTTCCTCAACAGTTACATTAAAAAAAAAAGACCTAATAAATTTAATAAATTGCATTTTAAAATTCAAAAATTTTTATAACTTAATATATTGAAACCAATCAGTTAAGTAAAAATGAATTTAATAATAAAAGATATTAAAGTAGCAAATTTTAAGAAAGGAATAAAGCATAATATATCTGGCTATTTTAAATATTAAAAATGTCAGTTTCTTTTTATTACTTTGCATTATTATCTAAATTTCTGTTAAATTTTACTATTTATTTATAAAATTTATAAATCAAATAAGGTTGTTCAAATCCAACATTTTTTTAACATAACTTTCCCTTCTTTTTATTAAATTTTGAAGGGTTTTTCAGCATATAATTTAGGTTAAAATTAGAAGAAATTTTCTAATTAGGCCATAATTTTTTAAGTGTTTAATTAATAAATTAATAACATTTAATTCAGGCTAAATTTAACAATAATTCTGGCCATTTTTTTTTGTTAAATTCCTTTCATAAATCTCAATTTTGTTATATTAAACAATATATTAGATTGGTATAGTCTAATCAACATTATTTAATATACTAATAAATAATATTTCTTAGGGTAGTGACATTTATTACGTATTATTCTACAGCCAAATAGGATCATGCTTTTTTTATCATGCTGATATTTTTTTTTAAGCTATAAATAAACTACCATTGCATAATTATTATTGATATTTTTGACGTTGTTTAATCAATGGTTTATTGTATTTATAGTATTTATAAGATGATCATTGGCAGCTGCAGAATAACACAGTTATTTGATAGGGGTGTTAAAATATCATCTGAACTGCTTCGCAGTTTGGTGATATTCTAACCCCCCTATCAAATAACTAATATATATCCATTTACTATAAGTTTATACCCACCTACCCTCATGTATTATATTACACTTATATATTATATAACCTTCAAATACCCTCCCACCCCTAAAATATTACATAATAAATATCACTGCCCTTAATAAAACTTTGAACTATATTTTTCACCTAAATGCATATAATTTAATATTTTGGCTATACCATAATTAATTTATTACTATTTGTAAATTATCTGTAATACTATAAATTAGGATTTATTAACAGTTAGTTAATTATTGGATTTTATTTAGCATTTCAAAATAAATCCTATAGTTATATTTAAATCTATATATAGAATATTAATTTTAGCTTAATAGATTTAAATTTTATATGCAAATGTGTTGCAATGTACCCTTTATAATATCTCATATATAAAAGTCAAAAACACTATTCTAAACTATATTTTAGTCTTTAAGTAAAGTTGTAGAACAAGCAAAATATGCATAATATATATTTTTTAAAAATTCTATAATATATATATAAAGTTTATGTAATATTTATTCAAAAATCAGAAAATTTACTGATATTATGTAATAAGAAATAATCAATATATTTACTATAAAAAAATTACCAAAAAGGAGGAATTATTATACATCTTTTTTTATTAGAATTTCTAAATAAAATTATATATAATTAGTTTAGAATTTCTAATTATTAGTTTGTATTTTTTAAATAATTATATAATATTAAACTATTTACTTTTTTAAATTAAAATCCATTTTAAACTTTTAAATCAAAATTTATTTTCTAATTAATTTAATATTTTAAAATTAATTTAAATGAATTTAAAAATTTTAAACTAATTTAAACTTTAAAAATTTGCTTAAAACTTTTAAATTTAAAATAATTTTTTAAACTATTTTAAATTAGTTTTAATTTAGAATAATTTTATTAATATTAATTTAAATTATATACAAAATAATCATTAATTTAAATATATTTATAAATTGATTTATATATATATATTTTTTAATATAAATTAGTATTCAATAGACTATAAAAAATTTAAATTTATTATTTAAATTTAATTATAATTAATATTTTTTATAATTATATCTTTTAAAATAACTTAATAATATCATTATAGAATTTTAAATATCTAATATATAGATTATAATGGATTTTTAGTCAAAATTATTTCTCTTTGCTAAAACTCAATAAATTAGTTTTTTATTTATATTTTGACATCTGGTAGTTCAATTTTGATAATATTTTTTTAAATTATAAAGTTTAATAAGAATTATAAAATAAAATAAAATAAAAATCATTGAAATTGGATTATTAGATATTAAAATATATGCAAAAAATGATTTTTGAATTAAAAATGAAAATGTTTGAAATCTTATTATTATAATAAAATATAATATATATTTATTAATAGAAATATTAATTCTGTATTTTTATATATAAAATATAAATAAATAAGGTATATATTTTAAATTCAATAGTAAAAAAGTTTTTTTTTTAAATTTATAAAAAATTAAAAAATTTACCATAATAATATCTTTTAATATTAGTAAATATAAGTAATCACAATAAATTAAATCTTTAATAAATTAGATTTAATATTTTAATAAATGTGTATTATTCTCTTTAAGGATAATGTTAAAAAAGAAAAAAAAATCAGATTTGATATTATTTTAAACTTTTTTCTTTATTATATTAAAACAATTGTAAATATACTGGATTTTATTAATAAATTATGATATTTTATAAATTAAATTTAATTTTACATTAAAAAAAATTTAATATATCAACTTTTTTCAAATTTAATATTAATAAAATTCAATATATAAAATAACTTATAATTTGACTTTATTAATAAAAAAAAAGTAAATTCAGTTAAATTTAAAATTTTAAAAATTAGTTTTTTATCATTATCATATTATTTAGTAATCCAATTTAACTAATTTTTTTAAAAATTATAATTATTAATGAATTTTATAAAATAAAAAAAAGTTCTGTCATTTAAATCTGATTACTAATTTTAAGATAATTACAAAAATTAAAAAACAAAAAGTATTAAATGTAAATCAATTATAAATTATATATTAAATCTAAATGAAATAATTTAATTTTAATTAAATTAAAATTAATTATTTTATATCAAAATTTTAAATATAATTTTACTATTCTTTTTTTTTTATTTTAATTTTTTAATTAAAGTTTAAAATAGCTTTATTTTTCTATATATTTTGATATATTAAAATTTAATAGGACCCCGGATATCTAATATAAAGGTCATAATGGACTTTTGGCCAAAAACACCCCTTTTTGCTTAAACTCAAAAAATCGTTTTTTGTAAATATCTCAGCATCCAGTAATTCAATTTTAATGAACTTTTTTTTATTTTGTAGCCCTCATTTAGCTCTACAATTTAAAAAAAGTTCATCAAAATTGGACCACTGGATGCCGAGATATTTACAAAAAACGATTTTTTGAGCCCCTGAAAAATGGGCCAATCTGCCGAAAGTATGACTTATGACCTGTTTTGGAGATATCCGGGGTCCTAATTTAATATATAAATTTTTATATAAAATCCAGTATAAGAAAATTTTTTAATATATTAGATGTTTTAATATATCAGATATTTTCTTTAAAAGATAATTTTTACATTATAAAATTTTTACAAATTTTTAAGATTATATTAGCTATTTTATCAAATCATGTGATTTATGTATTTATACAAAGGGAATTTAAGTGAATTTTATATATATTTATTATAATACAAAACTAATAATTGGCTTATAATTAACAAAGTAATTATAAAAAGGTATTTTATATATAAAAATATTAGACCCTAAAAATGTATATTTTAAAGAAGAGGAGTTTTTATATAGATTAGGAGATGCCTACTTACTGCCTATATAAAGGAGGATTAGCTGTAATTAATTTTATTAAATTAATTGAATTTTTATAATTTATTTTAAATAATCAAAAATAAAATTTAAGATTAAAGAAAAATTTTTTGAAAATGTTTAATTTTTTTAAGTGCAAAAAAAAAAAAATTCCAAAATTTCTAAATTTAACATTTGACAATATTTTAGCTAATTAATAATTTACTATCTCTTTTGATTAGTAACATTGTCATTAAGCTTAATTTACTTATGGAATTGGATTGAGTCTTTAAACCTTCTTTAATAATTGGAAAGAAATTTTAATAACCAAAGTTTTACAAGCTTGTGTATAAATTCTAGGAAATATAACAATCAATAGTTAAACTGTTGGGATCGTTAAAAATATCTGAAAATATTCAAGATACCAATATAAAAATTTAATATGTAATAAAGATTTTATATAATGTTTATAAAACTTATTAAATTTTATTAACTTTTTATTATTATTAAAGAATTACCTTTTGATTGTCCTGAATTTTAAATTGAAAATTTATGATGATTTAAATAGAGGAATTGAAAAATGACGCGTACATTAATAGGGACTACTTATGCACAATTAAAAAACAATGTCGCACTTGTTAGATAGTTGAGTATTATATGTATAACGAAGAGTCGTAACTAAAATTACAATGTGATACAATAATATTATTATGATGATTTTGATCTGCATAAAGTAAATCTTTTTATGGATAACGTTTTCCCGTCTCTCTCTCTTTTTTTTCTAAAAAAAAAAATTTCAATGGATTCAAAATCATTGACGTGTTAAATCACATATTACGTATAATATAGACGATATTATTACTTTACGTTTCATCTTACCTGTTTATCGATCATATATATATCTTGGGCAAGAGTTGTAGTAAAATGATTATGGGAGAATCCAGATATGCATATTATTTTTTTAGATAAGGGAGGGGACCGGGAGGTTACCGGGTGATTGTTGGATCCAAAACTAAATTTAGGACACGCTTTTTAAACTTTGGATATTTACGTCATCTTACCAGAATCACATGAAAACGTAACCGTTTTTTAAATAGCCAAATTTGTTTATTGATCATTATTTATTGATCTAGATTAGATTTGTTAAATCTCCCCCTGGTATTTATAAAGATAAACATTGAATTAATATTAAACGTTCTTGAAACTTTCTTTTATGGTGTACACTTATGAGATTCCTGTATTATATAATTATATATATAATTCTGCTCAAATAAATAAATAAATAAATAAATAATAAAAATAAAAAATCCCTGTTATTTTTATATCTTCTTACTTTACATAAGCGTGGTTTATATAATGGAATCACATGATAAAGCGATTTCTCTTAATTCTTTTAATGCAAGAAGTACATCATAATTTATAATGATTTTTTTGAGTAACGTGAAATCAGCATAAATAGAAATCGCTCAACCGAAGTTTCAACTTTTTTGTTCTACCAAAAAAAAAAAAAAAATTATATACACGACATATATGTAATATATATTTATACTAAGATATGTCGGCTACTCTTCCAGAACTTTGTATTCGGTTTGTTCTTGAGGAATTAAGTAATGATACTAGATCAAAACATACTTGTATTTTAATCAATCGTCATTGGTGTATGGCATCAATTCATGAAATTTGGAAACATCCTTTATATTATTGTCAAGAATTAGAACAAAAAGATAGGTATATACAATTTATTGATACTTATATAAAATGTTTATCTCCACAAATTAGAGAATCTCTTGGATTAGAATCGAATACAAAAACTACTTTTGATTATACAACATTTTCACAATGGATTTGTCCCAATGGATTAAGGTCTTGCGTAAAACTTTGGCTTGATGAAAAAATTAAGCAAGAACCCGATAAATATTCAAATCTTTTAAAAACTGAAAATAAAACGATATTTATGATAGGAAAAGCTTTATGTGAACATTTAATAATTAATTCAAAAAAATTAATTGGAGTTCAATTGAATCAAAATGAGATTAATATTTTTGAATTACCTCAAGCTGAAAAAGTATTATCCAAAGTAACACATTTTATAACAAGATTCAGTTGTGAACCAAGTAGAATTGGAAAATTACCAAATGTCTTATCATTAGCTACGGAAATTTCAAAGAATATTCAAGTACTTAATATAACTTGTTTTAATGTTGAAAAGGAAAATGATATTAGTATTAGAAAATTATCTCAATTAATTAGAAATCAAAAAAGATTAAAAGAATTCACCTTAACATATTGGAATCCTGGATTTATGAATCTTTGGACAAGCGTTTTACAACAATATAATACTTTAACAACGATTATATTAGAAACTATAATCTTTAACGAATCTAATCCATTCTTACTTCATGAATTGGGTATATTCAAAAATTTACAAGTACTAACGATCGAAAATTGTAAAAATTTTATTTTTTCAATTAAGAAAATAGATATATCAAATTCATTTCGTAAATTAAAAAAATTTACGGTAGTAATGAGTCAACCATTTCCAAGATATTTCATTATGGTCATATTACAACAATCAAATGAAAATTTGAGAAAAGTTGAAGTTATAGATATGGATATAAAAGAGGATGTTCTTCCTTATTGTATTAAACATTTTACTCGATTATTAAATTTTTCATGTTCAATAAACATTGAAAATTTTAATTTACTATTATCTTTATTAAAAGTTTCACCAAATCTTGAAACTTTATATATCAATGAATTAGAAGATTATTTGATTGAGGAAGATGAAGATCTTATATTATTTGATTTTTTATGTTCACTTGGTGAAAATTTTCCTAAATCTTTATATTATTTTACTTTTGATTTAGATTGGGAATTTAATAATGATTCTTTTTCAAAATTCTTAAAAATTTGTAAGGAGAAGGGAATTAATTTTAAAACTTTGATTTTTGCACAAAGTGGTTTTTTTAATGATTTATATTTATATGAATTATTGAAATTTTATGGTGACAGGAAGTTGGATGAATTAGTTTTACATGATATGAATAATTTTTCCAAAGAATGTTTAAAAGAAGTAAAAAAACAGGTGGGAATTGTGAAATTTGCTAAAGGATATCCTGAAAAATTTAATCTATCAATTAATTTTGAAGAAGACAATTAATATATACAAAGAAGAATAATTAATGAAGAAAAACAATTTGGATTCGTTAGTGGTTCGTTCTTTGATCTGGCATTATTGTTTGGTAAAGAGTGAAAGGATAGGTAATAATTATATATATATATATATGTATGTATGTATTTTTTTTTTTTAATTTTTTTAAAATAAAATAAAATAAATAATTCTGCACACATCAACTTTTACCAAAATTAAAAAAAAAACGCGTACATTTAATAATTTTGCTAAGCTTATTTCGTTTAGCGCAATTATTTTAAATTACGCAATACGATATACAAATACGTGACGTTATTTTACACGTGAATTTTAAATGATTAAATGCGCTTTATTATGTATCATGCATAATGTACAGGTTTTCTAATGAATCATCCAACCAAATTTGAGATGACACACTGCATAATTTACATAATTAAATTTTTAAAAATAGTAAAAATAGGGAGCAAAAAAAAAATTTTTTTTTTTTTTTTNATATAGCATATAAAATGATAAGCCATTTTTTTAATATTTGTGGAAAAGGGGGACTGGGTTCATGTACTGCTTATGCCCGCTGTGTTAGAATCTTTTTTAAGAGAAACCCAATTAAATTGCAGTATATGAGCTCGTCGTGTAAAGGTATATCTCTTAATTCGTTAAATATGGAAGTAGGTTTTACGAAAAAAATAAGTACAAAATAACCAAAAATGAGCATTCAAACTTTTTTAAAAGATGCTGGCATATTTTGGAAGCAAAAAAAAACCATAGATAGATAGCAGTACATTACTCGTCAGCCGTATAAGCTTCATACTTGTGATCTCATTTTTTAAAAAAAATCACCTGATTTTTCTTGTTAGCGTGCACAATATCTGATTCGTCAATTTTTATGGCTTATTTGTTTATTAACTTTTTTATTTCAAAATAATAATAATAAAAAAAAATAGATAATAACATAAAACAAATAAAATAAATTAATAATTAATTAATTCAATTTCATCAATTACTAAATATTTAGAAACTATATTTGTCATCTTTTTTTTCCTGCTTGTTCATCTATTTTCTTATCTTTTTTTCTATTTAAAAATTCTCAAATCAAATTGTTGCAAATTTTTTGTACCATTTTTTTTTTTCTTAGCCTCATAAATTTTCTACTCTCTTCATATGTTGATTTTTTTTTGCAAGCAAATGTTTTAATTGTAAAATCAAAATTAATGCAGTGGCGCAGCCGATCGACCTATCCGAAAATTTAATACCAAACAGAGTAAAAAATCAAAATTAATGCGGTGGCGCAGCCAATCGACCTACCCGAAAATTTAATAAAAGCGTAAAATGATAAATTTTTTTTTCTAACTTATAATCGCAAGTTACGCGAAGTAACAATTAAAATGGCAATTAAAGAACCTTTCCACCTTTCAAGACTATCGAGGTATATTGAATCATTTAAAAACTTCTTCTCTTTACGATTTGCTGCGCAATGCGCAAATTTTTTAATCCGCGCTTGGATTTATTTTATTTTATTTTTTTCAAGCCATATTGCTTGGTTGCTTGGCAAAGGTAACAACAACGCACAATTTACAATGAATCACGCGGCATTTAAGGTTAAAATACTGAATATAAAAATTTGCGGTATATTAAATTTTTTTTTTTCTTACGAAATTAATACGAAATTTTCAAATGTTTATGACGATTTAAGAATATATAAATAAGTACACAAAATGTGGTTTTTTTATTATTTACAAATTTATCTAAAAAACAAAACTTTCTAAATAATAAAAAAAACCAAATTTTTATCTAAAAAATTCTTTGGTAAAATAATAAATATCATGACAAGAAATAATAATAAAAAAAGAAACTTGAACAAAAAATTACGTAAGTTAAAATAATAAAATATTTTATTTTTTATAAACGATAATATTAAAATAAAAATTTTTAATCATAAAAAATTATTTTTTGTTAAAAAAAAAAGTTGAAAATAATAAATCAATTTCTCAAGTAAAACGTGAATATTGGAATATTTTAAATTTTCCAACAATTAATCTTGATATAATTAAAAAATGGGATGTTCAAAAACTCATTTATCATTTAAAAGTTATGTTTAGCGTTGAAGGTTATTGTCGAAAAGATTTATTTAATAAAGAATCCGAATATAAATTTAGATTAAAACAAATTGATGGGAAAACTTTTTTGAAAATGACAAGAAATGATTTCTTTAAAATGGGTATTTCAGGATTATTAATTTTACATTTAGAAGCCGAAATTTTACGTTTACATGGTAAGAAAAATTTACAAAAAAATTTAAAATTGAAATTTTTTATTTACAAACTTTGAGATATTTTTAGGATATTATAAAAATGAGAATTATTATGAACCTGAAGGTAATTAAATTACTTAATCCATAATAATTATAATATAATTGTTTTAAATAATTTTTTTTTTTTTTTAGAATTATTATTAAAATTTAATAGTTTTGAATTAAGAAATAATAATATACCAAAAGTAAGTTAAAAAATTATATAAAAATTATACATAAATTATATATATATACATAAATTCCATATGTAATAATTAATTATATATTATAATTAGGAAAATTTCTTCAACAAAAAGGATTTATTTCAACAACTTATTACAAGAAAATTACTTAAAGTTCCTTCCATATATGAATTAAAAAGATTCCTTTTGACTCCATTACCAATGAGAGTATTTGTTCCATCATTTTGTCTTTTAAATAATCAAGAAAATTCCAATATATATTCATATGTCATACCTCAAGAACAATGTTTTAGAGAATTTGGAAATATTATTCCATCTTCACCTATTTCATTGCCATTTATTAATGCTTTGACATATCCATATAATTCCAATTCACCTTGTCAAGAAAATAATTTAATTTGTTATAATTTAATTATTGATGCATTAATTCAAGGAACTTTAAGTTGTTTACAATCTCAAAAATCACAATGGATTTATATGGCACGTAATTTTATTCAATCAAAGGAAGATCTTTTAAGACCTGATTGGATGTGTTGGATTAATGATCATTTTATAATTCATGGTTTTGAATTACCCGAAAATTTTGAATGGTATGTTGGTATTCAAAATATTATTGATAAAACTCATTGGAAAGATATTTATTATTCAAATTTACCTTTTAAATTTGTTTATATATCAAAAGGTCCAATTTTAAGATGGTATGTTTTTGATCCATTAAGATATAAGATTATATTAATATCTCAAGATTTTGATTTGGATAGGATCTTGGATAGATTAAGAATGATTCGTACTGTTATTAATATTTATAATGTTTTGGATTCAATAAGACGTAATTGGGTACAATTTAAGATAAACAAATCCACTCATCCTTTATATTTAACAATAAATCGTGATGGTGGAACTAGTATAGAATTTATGGGAAATTTCGTAAAAAAATCTTTATCAACACAAAAAATGAAAGAAACTTTTAATTATGATACTATAAGAAAAATTTATTTGGAAACTTCTCATATTAAAAATTTAGTTCATTGTATTGATTTAGAAGGTAATCTTAGTTATCCAATTTTAACTAAAGATGGTTCTTGTAAAATTTTTTTACATCCTGTAGGATATTATTATTATCCAAAGAATGAATTGGAAGTTAAATCAATGATTAAAACTATTTTACAAGTTCTTAAAGATATGCATCAAGTTAATTGGACTCATAGAGATATTTATTGGGGAAATATTTTAAGACAAGATAATGGTGATTGGTTAATAATTGATTTAGAATTAGGAGGTCCTGTTAATGAAATTTTACAATTTTCTCTTTGGAATAGATGGCCTGAACAAGCTGTTATTGGTAAACCATATTTCGCTTGTTATGATATTTATCAAGTTGGAAGACTTATGGATGAATTAAAAGGTACAGATCAATGTTTTAATAATAATTATTCTAATAGTTTTATTCAATTTAAAAATCTATTACTTGAATCTGCAAAAGATAATAATTTCACCGCGGAAATGGCATTAAGACATGAATGGTTAAGTGAAATGAATGAATGAGAGAGTGTGAAATTTGAGAATGAAATTTGAAAGTGAAATCTAAGAGTTGAAATTTGAGAGTTGAAATTTGAGAATTGAAATTTGAGAGTTGAAATTTGAGAATTGAAATTGAGAATTGAAATTTGAGAGTTGAAATTTGAGAGTGAAATTTGAGAGTGAGATTTGAGAGTAAATGATTAAGTGGAATTTTATGACGAGAATTGTAATTTGTGTGTGAGAATGAATATAATTTTGTGGTCGAGAATTTTTTTTTTTTTTGTGCGCAACGTGACGGAGATTAAAATCTTGTGACGAGAATTTCTTGTGTGAGTGAATAAATAAATAAATAATTATAAAATTTTATTAAAAAAAATCAAAAAGTAGTGAATTTGACACATGAATATTTGGAGATAGATAATTCTAAATACAAGTGAATGAGTGAATGATTAAGTGGAATGTTATGATCAAGAATTTTGTGTGCGTGAGCGTAAATATAAAATTTGATCAAAGTAGTGAATTTGACATGTGAAAAATTTGAAGATAATTAATTCTAAATACGAGCGAATGAGCGAATGATTAAGAGGAATGTCGTGATCGAGAATTTTGTGTGAGTGTTAAATATAAAAATTTAAAAAATCCAAAGAGCGGATGAGTGAATTGAGTGAATGAACGAATGATTAAGTGGAATTCTGTGTGCGTGTGAGTGTAAATAATAAAATTTTTATTAAAAAATACAAAATAGTGAAAATTTGAAAATAAATAATTTTTTAAATACGAACGAATGAGCAAAATGGGTGAATGAGTGAATTAGTGAATGAGCGAATGATTAAGTGGAATGGTTGTGATCGAGAATTTTGGGTGCGTGGATATAAATATATATAAATATTAAATTTTTATAAAAAAATCCAAAGTAGTGAGTGAATACGTGAAAATTTGGAAGATAAAATAATTTTAAAATACGTTAATTACGTTATTCAAAAAAAAAAAAAAAATTATATAAATTATCTAATAAAAACAAAGATCTTTTTTCCAATCGGTAAAATTTCTACTATAATAACTATCATCATCTTCACAAATATAAAAATTAGCTGGATCCGTAAAACCGGATTTTTCACATTTTACAAATTGTTCAGTAATTCTAGTACAAGATCTATGATCCAATTGTGTAATCCAATCTTCAAGTATATCTATAATTTGATTAATATTTGGTCTATTAATAGGATTATGAGACCAACATTGTTTTAATAATTTTAAATAATCATTTGGAATATTATCCAATGAAATTGAAAAAATATCGGGTCTTTTTTGATTTAAAACAATATTTGTGGCCAATTTTATATTATGTACCTTATTATTAAATGGTTTAAACCCAGTTAATATAATATACATTATCATTGATAAACTATAAATATCTGAAGATTGTGTAAAATTATTATGTATTAATACTTCTGGTGCCATAAATGGTAATACACCATATAATTTATAACAATTTGATTTTGTTATTCCAGTATCTGTTATAAACCATTCATATTCATTACCATTATTATTATAAATTGGTAATAAATTTCCTCCATGAAGATTTTTATGAATTAATCCTAAACCATGAATTTCTTTTAATTTTAATGATATTTTTAATAATGAAAGTATTTTCCCTCTCCAATTTAAAAATGTTTGATTATATAAATTTCCTGCTTCAAAATATTGCATTAAAATAACGTAATTATGACTTATAGGATCTTTAGTTATTCCATAATATTCTGACCCTATTTCATAATTTCTTAAATTCAAACATGAATTTAATGATGAAAGAAATCCAAAATCTAAGTTAAAAACATCACGAAACATTTTCATGGCAACTTTAATTCCTCTTTCCTTCCAAAATGCCGAATACATTGAACTATACCCTCCATGAGAAATCAATTGAATTTCACTAAATTGTTCATATGGTATAATATCTATGAGATGTCCTGTAATAATAATAATAAAAAAAAAAAAATTAGTTTTTTAAAAAAAGTATAATAAGTATAGTATAAAAAAAATATATATATATGTATATATTTGTTGAACGTGGCTTACTTTTAAGTAAAGCATCGATAGGAGATTCGTTAAGATGATTGATTCGACGTAATGAACAAAAATCGATAAGTTGACTAGTATAAATAGCATTCTCATGTATATTATGAGATCTAATAATATTCGTATCCATATAAACATCATCAACTTCATCAACTTGAGAAATAATTAAATGATTATAATCTTCCATAGTATAATAATCAAAATTTTGTAATGCATATTTCCATTCCGTTAATAATTTTACTAATTCATTAGAAGTAGGTCGAACTTCAATATTTTCATTCCAACATCTTGTCATCAAATCCAAAAATAATTCTGGCATACAAATTTCAATAGTTGGACGAAGACCATTAATAATATCTTTTGCAAGTTCTAAATCATGAGATCTATCAGCGAAAGGTAATTGAATTGATGATAACATCCACATTATGATTCCAAAACTATAAATATCAGCTGAAGGTGTATATCTTTCACCACGAATAACTTCAGGTGCAACGAAAGGTAAAACACCATAAATTTTCATGAATGGAATTTCATCTGCTGGATGACCAAGTCCCATATCCGAAATTGTAAATCCTTCGACCGTACTTAAAACGTTCCCTCCATGGAGATTTCCATGAACTAAATTACGAGAATGTAACGAGTCTAAAATTCTTGATAATTCACAACAATCTTCAATTATTTTTATCCAATCCAAAACAAACCTATCTTTCTCTTTAATATAATCATAAAGATTTCCATTCTCAGAATAATCCATTACTAACATATAATCTTTATATATAGGATCACGAGTTAATCCATAACATAATTCGTAATCATTTTCATATTTTTGACAAATACATTCCCTTAACTAAAAAATTGTAATTACCGTAAGTAAATAATTAATAATAAATTTAAAATAATTAAATTTTTTTTTTTATAAATAACGTACCATATAACAATATTGTGGATTAATATTCCTAGAATTATCAAGAGATTTTAGGACAACCTTTCGAGGTCCAGATCTTACATAATCTTCACTTAATTCATCAAATGTACGTAATGGTCCACGAAGCCATGATGCTGTATATATTGTACTATGTCTACCTCTACCATGATATTTTACAAATTCAAGATCTGAAAATGGTATCCATTCAATATATTCTTCCGAACAAGATGATGAAAGTTGTACATTTCTAATTAAATCATCAATTAAATCATTTTCGCTCGTCCAATTTTGAAAGTTATCACGAAATCTTTGATGTTCGCAATTAGTACACCAAAATCCTACCGAATTATTTTTTCCACAAGTAACACATTCTTTAGACGGTGATGTCATTCTTTAAAAAATTATTTAAAAATAAAAATAAAAAATAAAAATAAAAAATAAAATAAAAAAAAATAAAAATAAAAATAAATTAAATAAATTTAAAAATAATATATAAAAAAAAAAAAAAGATAAAATCAATAATCAATAATAATAATAATAATAATAAAAAGAAAAGAAAAGGAAAAAAAGAAAATCACTTTATAAAAAAAAAAAAAATCTAGGAACCTTTTTGTTAAAAATAGATTCGAATTAACTCATCAACCCTTTATTTGGATAAATTATATAAATTTCAGGTTTATTACATTTTTGTATAAATTAGTAACGCAGTTGCCGCAGTATCTTTATCTTTTGATAACTTCAAGAAAAAAAATATGTCATAAAAAAAAAAAAA